AATTCCTGTGAGTGTTCCTTTTTTCTTACCAACCTCAACACTGGGTGGTGTTTTTTGAAACAAATTTACCATGCAGGTGGAAAGGATGTAGAATGTATCTCTCCATCGCCTTCTCCTCACTTTGCATTTATGTTGTACTCAGTGATCTCTCCTCACCTGGTTATTGACCATTAGTGTTGTTCTGTGAGCTGATATATCTCTCCTTTGGATTCTTAATCACTCTCTTAGCATACCTTGTTTTGAGTATAATATCGAGGAGATTGTTTAAATTGATATCTTTGTATGAAAAAGATTTTATTTTGCTTGTCATTGTCATTTCTTTATTGCTTATCATGACCACAGTAATGAGAAGAGAAATGGAGACTTCCTTCTTTGATTAATTCTCATGTATTTGCTCATTCTGTAAATGTCTTAGGCGGCTGGCAGTGTCCTAGATGTCCTGAGTCTCCTAGGTGGTGTCTGAGGCCGGCAAGCACCCTGTTCTCCTGGAGCAGATATTCTCATGGCAGAAGGGAGACAGTAAACAAGAGGCGCCTTGGCCTCCTGAAATGGGGCCAGCAGGGGAGGGCTCCGAGGAGGTGGTGTTTGAGCCGAACGCTGGGCACTGCCAGCCAGTGTGATCTGGGCAGGGTGGGGCCTTTCCTCAGGAATCCCAAGTGTAAAGACTGGAGGGGGCCGCAGGCTTGATCTTGGAGGAACAGCACAAAGGTCCGTGTGGCTGGAGATTCCAGGATGAGGCAAGGAAAGACAGACATGCGGTTCTGTTTCTTTGGGGGAGTAGGATGCCTCTGGGTGGTTTTAGATGGAGCAGCAAAGTGCTGTCATTTCCTTGTTTAAGGTGCTGCCCTGGCGCTGTGTGAGGGTCTTCAGGAGAGGGGTGTTGTGGCAGGCGGGGGACCGTGGGAAGCTCTTCCAGCGTCTCAATGGGAAATGATGGGCAAGGGCAGTGTTTCCTGGCCTTTTTTTCATTTTCTATCCTAACGAGCCGTTTTAGACATTTTCTTCCTAATTGTCCTCTTGTGAAATTTTTAAAAAAATGGACGTGAAATTCACAAAGCATAAAATTAACCGTTTTGAAGTAAACAATTCAGTGGTGTTTAGTACATTCACAACATTGCACAACCACCACCGTTATCTAGTCCCAAAACATTTCCATCACTCAAAATAAAACCCTGTACCCACGAAGCAGTCCCTCCCCACCCTCCCCACCGCCCCGTCTCTGCTCTCCCACTTGCCCCTGGCAGCCGTCAGTCTGCATTCCATTTGTGTAGATTACCTGTTCTGGATATTTCATTTGCGCGAACTCATACAAAATGTGACCTTTTGGGTCTGGCTCCTTAGTGTCGTGTGCTCAGGGTCATCCACGTTGTAGCAATGCCTCAGAACTTCTTTCCTTTTGATGGGTCATAACATTCCATTGTGGAGATGCCGCAGTCTCTCTATCCATAGATGGTCGTTTGGGTAGTTTGCACCTTCGGCTGTTGTGACAGTGCTGCTGTGAACATGCGGGTACCAGGATTTGTTTGAGTAGTGTCCATTTTCAGTTCTTTTGGGTGTATACCTGGGAGTGGACCCTCATGAAATTGAAAAGTGTTATATATTGTCTTTTGTACTGCATGTGTATCAGTGCTTTATATGTAAAAAGAGTAAGCTGTTTTTCACGCCCTAAGAACGACTTTTTGCTCCTTGAGGCCGTATTGCCCCCGTTGAGAATGCGTGGATGAGGGCGATGGCAGTGGAGATGGAGGTCAGTGGTGAGACTGGGGATAGATAGGAATTGGAGTGCAGACGCCTTGCTGAAGAGTTGGGTAAGTTGAGGAGGAGAGCAAAGGAGGAATTGAGGCTGTCTAGATGTGTTTGGCCTTGAACAACCGGGTGAGTGGTCGTAGCATTAACTGATATGGGGAGGTCGAGGCAGGGCCAGGGTCTTTCACAAACTGGGGAGGTGGGGCACGTGGCACTCAGGGGTGGACACGGGCCATTGCTTTATTTTATAATTTTATTTATTTATTTATTTTTTCCCCCAAAGCCCCAGTAGATAGTTGTATGTCATAGCTACACATCCTTCTAGTTGCTGTATGTGGGACGCGGCCTCAGCATGGCTGGAGAAGTGGTGGCTCGGTGCGCACCCGGGATCCAAACACGGGCTTCCAGCAGCGGAGCGCGCGCACTTAACTGCTAAGCCACGGGGCCGGCCCGGGCCATTGCTTTCTTAGAGGAGAGCTGTGCATTGTGGGACCCGGGGTTGCTGGGTGACCCCGAGGTGCTGTCCCTCTCCTGATTACATGAAGCACTGCATTCCAGATGCCTGTGAGGGTGGCCCCTGCCCTTTGCTGGCCAGGTGGAGAGGGAACCAGACTCATCTCCATGGGGAACCAGTGTTCTCCTATCCCCCTTATTCTTGCCATATCCAAGTGCTACGTTTAAAAATTTTTTTTAAATTTTAGAACGTTTCTTGAACCTTCAATACTTAAGTTTTATTAACAAAGGAAACTTTATATGTCTATGCAATTAAAGGCTCACTATTCCAATTATTATTTTTAAACTAGAGATGAATACATATATATGCAGAATTATAAAGATAATGACTTTCCCCATGTTCTTTCTAAAATCCCCTGCAGGACAAGTAGGGTAGGGCTCGGCTAGACTGCCTGCCGGCCTCTCCTTTTTACTTGTCTAACTTGCCCTATTAGGCAGGGGAACGTGGACTCCCTAGGTTGAGTGCTGTGTGCGACAGCACCTTTGAATGGTTCTGTTCCTGCTGCCATGGGAGATTGGGCTTCCATGTCCAAGGCCCCTGCAGCCACAAGCATCCCTTCTGATAATGTGAGACCCTCCCTGCCGGGCCTGCTTGCTCGTTTGCTAAAGAGAATATGGACTTTAATCCTCGTGGGGAATAGACCACGCCCATGTTTTCAGCCACTGCAAATCTCTTTTGGAAGCAGGTAGAACATAAATGAATGAGTAATAATAAAAAAAATCTTAATACTATTAAGATTTTATTGGTAATACTTAAATATTTTGAAATAGCTTTGTCTTTATTTTTTCTTGTTTCTTTGTGTAACAAGCTCTTTAGTTCTACTTGTTGTTACAGTATCAGTGGTTAGAATACCTGTGGTAGTAACAGTAATAATGATAACAGCCCTTAGTTGAGAGAGGGGTGTATGCTGGGCCAGGCATTTGCTAATCCTTACAGTAAACCTGATTTAATTTAGTATTTTAAAAAACTTAATTCTTCAAAATAATTTCTTGTTTATTGAGCACTTGCTGAGCACCAGTTGATGGGGATTAGCTCACCTAATCCCCTCTTCTCTCCTCACTTGCAGACGAGGTAAAGGATGCCCAGAGAGACATCTGCTTCATCCCTCTGTGGAGTTATCAACCTCAGCACTATTGACATTTGGGGCCAAAGATGATTATTTGTTCTGGGGGCTGTGCGTTGTGGGATGTTGAGTAGTATCCCTGGTCTCTGCGTATGAGATGCAGTAGGACCCGCCTCTCTGAGTGTAACAGCCAAAAGTCTGCAGACGTTGCCCAGTGTGCCCTGGAGGGCAAAGTCATTCCTGGCTGAGACCCACTGGTTTAGATGATTGAAACCAAAGCCCTAGAGGTTAATGGGGAAATAGAAAATAATACTACACTAATAGCAAACAATAATATTGTACTTATTAGATGCTGGGCACTGTTTAGATGATTGATTAATTTATTTGATTCTTGCAACTTGATGAGGCAGGTACTTTTATCAGTCCTTTTGTATTATCAGTATCCCTCTTTGCAGCTACCAGGAAAGGAGATTCAGAGATGTCAGGTAACTTGCCCAAGGTCACACAGCAAGTGAGGAGCAGAGCTGGGATTTGAACCCAGTGTCTGGCTCCTGGTCTATTCTTGAATCCACTTGTCTCCTTGTCTAGGGTCTTTCCCATTCTGTTACGTTTAAGACAGTGTTGGCAGGTCCTGGCACGAGAGCTGAGGTTAGCTCACGTGTATTGATTGGTGGAGCTGGGGTACGGGTTTCACTCATTGACTCCTCACTCTGAGGATCTCCCTGTGGCAGGTGAGGAAACCATGGCGAGCGCCCATCAAAGTGTCGGTGCTTTGAAGTCCCTGGGACTTCTTGGTTCCCAGCCCCTCTGCCATCAACAGCTTTCTCTTAAGGACCAGATTGCCTCAGAGTCGAGTTTCTTGCGCATCTGAGCAGAGCTGGCTGTTTTGTTGCCTGTCACGCAAGACCATCCCAATAACGTTGAGCCCTTTAGGCAAAGGGGCAGGACCTAAGGGATCTCTAGGAGGCTCTAGTTGGCCTGTCTGAACGCTTGGCTTTGTTAAATGGTTTGGTTTCTGTCCTCCCTCTCCCCACCCAGTGGACGAGGCTCAGGGGAGCAGTATGTGGGTAGTTTTAAGGTATTTTTAAAAGACTCGGCTGTAGGTACGACTCTCTGTCCCCCTGTGAAAGTTTGAAGCACAGTAAGGAGAGAGGTGATTTACCAGCCTCCCCTCGCTCCATCTGGTGCTGCTGGTCCATTCAGCGTTGCAGAACCTTTGAAATGGGAAGCCCCACATCTCCCAAGGGTGCAGTGGCCGTGTGAGCCGGCCCTTGCGTCTCCCACCAATGGATGACATGCCATTTGTGAACCTGGCTCCTGTCTCTGCATCTGGACCGTGGTGGGGGCTGGTTTAATCGCTGTTTATTGTGAGATTTACACCCGTGAATGGGCCAAACCAATTTCAGTGGCGGCTTAGCCGATTTGTCTTAGAGCTTTGTGTCTGATGGAATGACTGGGAGGCCCTCTTCCTCTGTGGCTTTAACGGTTGAACGTTGGGTTAAAGCCCTTTGCCTGAAATAAATGGCCAGCGCTTCCCGCTCCTCCCCATCCGTGGTACTTGGAGGCCTTGCTGTGATCAAATACAATTTCTCTTCTCTCCCGCTACCCCACACCTACAAGTTTTATTTGTGTATTTATTTGTAAACCTGTCTTTTAACAATTAACATACTTTTTCAGCTTCACCAGCCTCCACGAAGACAGGACAAGCCGGCAGTTTATCTGACAGCCCGAAACCTTTCTCTCCTCAAGCATCAGTGCCAATCACGACGAAAACGGACAAAACGTCCACCACTGGAAGCATCCTGAATCTTAACCTGGGTCAGTTGGAATCTTTGCAAGTCTCTTTCTGTGGCACCTGTGAATATTTTTGCGAGTTGCAATGTTCTCTTTTGTGTGTGGTTCTTTTTTTTCTTTTTTTGGGGGGGAGTGGGGGAAGATTGGCCCTGAGCTAATATCTGTTGCCAATCTTCCTCCTTTTTTCCTTTTCTCCCCAAAGCCCCAGTAGCTAGTTGTATGTCATAGTTGTACATCCTTCTAGTTGCTCTGTGTGGGACACTGCCTCAGCATGGCTTGATGAGCGGTGCATAGGTCCACGCCCAGGATCCAAACTGGTGAACCTCGGGCCACTGAAGCAGAGTGCACGAACTTAACCGCTACGCCACCGGGCTGGCCTCTGTGTGTGGTTCTTGAACTCTGAACTCTTTTCTCTGTGCACACTATTGAAAGGTACAGTGGATGAAGATGAAGAGAGATCAATAAAAGGAACAAGTAAGGGATTCCTGGGGCTGGTTGCCATGCAAAGTTGTTTTACCTTGAAGGATGTTAAGCCAGTGTTTACAATCTTACTTGCCCTTGACCACAGTAACCCAGTTCTTATGTATGTAAATATATATGTATTAAAGTTATATATGTATACACACACTTGATATATATCAACTTTTATGAATCAATATTGACCTTTCCTATGTGCAGTATATTCTGATATATTATTTCCTCAATTCTCTTCTTCTTCTTCTTCTTTTTTTTTTTTTTTTGCTGAGGAAGATTAGCCCTGAGCTAACATCTGTGCCAATCTTCCTCTCTTTTGTATGTGGGTCGCCGCCACAGCATGGCTGATGAGTGGTGTATGTTCGTGAACCCGAGAACCCGGGCCGCCGAAGCGGAGTGCGGCAAACTTAACCGCTACACCATGGAGCTGGCCCCTAATTTTTTTTTAAATGCTGGTCTTCATCCCCTGACTTGGTAGTGTTTTTTAGACCTCTTGGGTTTCGGTTGGTTGTTTTAAAAGCACTACCTTAGGCCAAAATCTTTAGCAAAAATTGGCACGAGAAATGCTAAACAGTAACTATGAAGTTATTTTATTGATTCACTCCATCATGAGCTCAGATTTTTACTGAGCGTCTATTCTGTGCTGTGTACTGTTTTAGGCATGGGGCAGAAAGTGGTGAGCAAGGGCCCTGCTCTTACGGAGCTTGGTTCTAGACAGGGAGGGATAGTAATCAAGGTAGATAAACAACACAATTCATGCCATCCTAGAGGGGAAAATGTGTTAATGTGATAAGGAGAGAGAGGGGCTGGATGGGCGTGGGGGGCAAGAGACAGTGGTTAGAGAAGGCCGCTGAGGAGGTGATGTTTGAGTAGAGATTTGCATGACAGGAAAAACCAACCATGCTAGTATCAGGAGGAAGAACGTTCTAGAAGGAACAAGGAAATTACAAGCCATAGGGTACAGATGAACTTGGTGTGTTATAGGAGTGGCAAGGAGGCCCAGGTGGCCTGTCCCAGTGGGTGAGGGGGAGAAGGTTAGGAAATGAGGTCAGAGAGCACAGGACCGGGTGGGCTCTGGGGTTGGAGCGGTTTGAGCAGAGGAGGGGTGTGAACTGACTCAGCATTTCAGAAGGACCTCTCTGGCTGCTGGTTGAGAATAGCCTATGCTGGCCGTTCTCAACCAGGGGCAACCCTCCCCCCTCCCAGGGAACACTTAGCAATGCCTGGAGATAGTTTTGGTTGTCACAACTTGGGGAGCGGTTGCTACTGACATCTAGTGGGTAAAATACATAGAACGACAAAGAGTTACTGGGTTATGCCAGTGACTGTGTTGACAGATTGGGGAGCGGCAGGAGAAGCAGGAGCCAAGAGTTCAGTTTTATTTTTTTATTTTTATTTTTTTTTATTTTTATTGTTTGTTTATCTTTTTCTGCCAAAGCCCCAGTAGACAGTTGTATGTCATAGTTGCACAGCCTTCTAGTTGCTGTATGTGGGACGAGGCCTCAGCATGGCCGGAGAAGCAGTGCGTCGGTGCGCGCCCAGGATCCCGAACCCGGGCCGCCAGCAGCGGAGTGCGCGCACCCAACCGCTAAGCTACAGGGCCGGCCCCAAGAGTTCAGTTTTAGATTCTGTAAGTTTGAGGTGCCTGCTGGACTCCTTGGTGGAGAGGTCAGGAGGGCAGTCGGAGGCAGGAGTCAGGATGCCCTGAGGCCAGGTCAGGGCAGGAGGTGTCGTTCTGGGAATCTTGATTTATACATGGGATTGGGTTAGAGCAGTAGTTCTCACAACTGGCGGGTCGGGGAGGGGGATGCTCCTGGCATCTAGTGGGTGGAGGCCAGGGATGCTGCTAAACATGCTACAATGTACAGGACAGCCCCACAATAGAGAATTATCCGGCCCCAGTGGCAGTAGTGCTGAGGTTGAGAGACCCTGGTCTCGAGCATGAAGAAAGAGTGAGGGCCGGGGATACTTGAGCACGTAGACATCAGGGAGAGGAGAAGTGAGCAAGGAGGCTGAAAAGGAGCAGTGGACAAGGAGAAAGCGACACCTGGGGAGTGTGTTGTCCCTGAGGCCTCGAGTATACAGGGTTTTAGGAAGGGAGTGGCGGCCACCTGTGTGGAGTGATGCTCCAGCGTGAACTCACAGCCTCTGGTGGTCAGTGCCCTCCGGGTTCATCTGGTCCTGCAGTGCCATTTTCAGATGGAGAAACTGCTGTCTGGAAAGGCGCTCCAGGTGCCCAGGATCACAGAGCCAGAAGGAGGCAGGGCTGGAGCAAGCCCTTGTCTCCATAGAAGCCAGCCTTGTCCCCCCGGGTCACCTGTTAGTGCAGCTTGGGTGTGATGGGACAATCGGGGTGGTAGCTCTAGGGGCTCCAGGAATTCCTCACTTGAACCAAAGGGAACTCATTTGCTACCCTGGGGAGCATTCATGTTCTCAACAGTGTGGTTTGCTTTCTCATACCCTCCTCCCGCCTCCGCGCCCTGAAAAGAAATGCTGTGCGGGGGCGTTCTCACGGTCGTGTTTCCTCTCTGCCAGTCATGTGTGGCAAGAATAGCTCCTTTCCTAAACCAGGCCGTCCCTGGGCATCCTCGTGATGCCGTGGGTCTTTCGGTTTGCCTTGACCCGCGGTGGGAGTGGAAGATTTCTTCCTGTCATGTGTTTCGGTGGGTGGGCGTGGCGGAATCGGAGGCTCCTTGGTGCAGAAGCTCCCCGATAGCTTTTACCCTTCTCCGGCACAAGCTTGTTTTGTCAGCAGGAACGAAAGCATTGGGAATGTGGGCCTTTCAAGGGCTGGGATTTCAGTTACCTAAGGGAAGAGGATCAGATAGGGACTGGTGAAAAGTGCTGTGGATGGGTAGAAAAATTGCAAAGTGGAGGGAAATGTTAAATAATTCTCAAGGGCTCACCCCGGGATGGAGCAAATGCTTTGTGGGGCTTGATTATGCCTGGCATCCGTGTAACTACTTTGAGCAGACAGAAATGAGACCAAGTGTCAGGGATCATGCCGACATTATTATATCCAACGAAACAGTATTTCATGAAAAGAAGTAACTGGAAAATTACAGAGATGGAAAACAGATCAGTGATTGCTGGGGGTGGGAGTGGGGGAGGGGTTAACTACAAATTGAAAAGGGATTCTTTGGCTGATGGATTGTTCTGCATTCTGTTTGAGGTGGTGGTTACATGATTCTCTGTAGGTGTCATCACTCACAGGACTGTGTTTCCCAAAAAGTGAATTTTACTCTCTGTAAATTAAAACTATTAAAAAAATACAGCAACCTTCAAGGTAGGTAATAGTAGCCCCATTTCACAGAAGTGGAAACAGGCAGAGAGAAGCTGAGTTACCCACCCAGGATCACACACGGTTTGGGGTCAAGTTTGGCCTTTAGACTCAGGCCTGTCTGCTGTGTGGCTTTGGCTCTTAACCCAGAGACAGGAACTGAAATGCTACAAGTCAGGGCCGTGTTTTGACCCTCGTGGGCTCTTGGGGTCAGGGGGGAAGGTGAAGATTGGGAATGGGCCATCACAGGGAGGTCAAAGTGCTTTTCTAAAGGAAGCAGCTCCCACCAGTTGAACCTGTGTTGTCAGACTCTGGATTTTCAAGAAAAACAGAAATCCGGAGTTTTACATGAATGCTCCTAGTTTTTAAGATTGGGCATCAATTTCATTACAAACAAAAATTCTACTTGGGCCGCACAAACAAATACAACCGAAAATACAAAAACCAGCCCAGGGTTCGTCATAATTAATTTGGGTGCTTGACACAGACCGTTCTGGCCCTGCTTGCTAAGGTACAGGCCCCTCACCTGCTGTCTTGGGCTTCCCTTCTCTGCTCCAAAACCAGGTGGATTGTTCTGGCCCCTTCTGTGACCCAGCAATTATAAATAGGTCATAAATAAGAATGAGTTCGTGAGACTAGGAGAGAGGGGGAGGGCCTGGTTCTTTTCTTCTTCTAGACTCCTGTTTGCTTTCTCTGGGAATCCTCTTATCTCCTCTTATCTCACAGAGGGTATTGCTTTGGGCTGAACAAATGCAGCAGTTCAGTAGTCCTGTTAGTGACAAGGACGTGCCTTGATGCTCCGTCAGAGATGCCGAGATGCCAGGGGAGCAGTGGCGAGGTGTCAGACGGGGCATTTCTGCCTGTGTGTCCCTCTGCTGTTCTGAGTCGCTGACGCGAGGCCACCTTTCTTTCTCTGCATAAAGCCATACTTTGGAAGTCTGGCATTCTTTGAGTGGATGTAGAGCCGGGGGCCCAGGTTTCCCAGATGTTGTCTTGTGTTTGTTTTTTTTTGTTTTGTTTTGTTTTTTTTTTTTTACAGTGAATGAGGTGAGGAAGCTCTCTCCTTAGCTCTGATTGGTAGGAGAGCATCTGTCAGGTTCTCTTGTCTGAATGATATCCTTCCTTTGAAGGAGCCACCATGTTGTGGCTCCTGGAAGTCCATCCATTATAATCTGCCTACAGCTTTTGAACAAAGGTGATTTATTTTTTTTGACCGAAAAAGAAGTGCTAATATTTTTCTTTTAAAAAGTTTATTTTGTTTTTATAAGTAATGAACGCACGTGGTAAGAGAAGTTTCCAATTACAGAAAGACGTTTAAAGAAAAGCCAGTCTGTCTGCAACCTCTGCATCGCCTGCCTGTGTACCCTGTCCCCACAGGTGACCACTGCTGCCTCTTTTTAGTCTCCTTGGAGAACTCTCTTTTGTGTGTGTGAGGAAGATTAGCCCTGAGCTAACATCTGTGCCCATCTGCCTCTGTTTTATATGGGACGCCGCCACAGCATGGCTAGACAAGCGGTGTGTCAACGTGTGCCTGGGATCCGAACCTGCGAACCCTGGGCTGCCAAAGCGGAGTGCGCGCACCTAACCGCTAAACCAGCAGCCGGCCCCTGGAGAACTCTTCTAGATAAATACCAGGGGTTCTCAGCCTGCGTGATTTTTGTCTCCCAGGGGACATTTGGCAATGTCTCGAGACTTTTTTATTGTCACAACTGGGATGTGGATGCTACTGGCATCTCGTGGGTGGAGGCCAAGGATGCTGCTCAACACCCCACAAGGCACAGGACAGCCCCGCCCCCCTCCCCCTCCCCTCCACAACAGAGACTTCTCCAGCCCCAGATGTCAATGGTGCCAAGGGTGAGAAACCCCGAGAACACAGATATTCATGTTTGTATTCTAGTTCCTTCTTGTCTCCTCCACACCAGGGCTAACGTGCTCTACCGATTGTCACCTTCTATTTCATTTAACAGGTTGTCTTTCTATATCAGCACGTAAAGATCTGCTGCAGTTTTATTTTAGCAGCTGTATTTTAATCCATTTCAAGGTGAACTGTAACTGATTTATCCAGGCACCTTGCTTATTGACTCTCAGTTGTTTTCCATTTTTGCTGTTGAAAACAGCGACAGGGAAGACCCTTTTGCCCACACGGGAGTGTATCCATAGGATAAATTCCTAGAAGTGGAGCTGCAGGTCAGAGGCCACGTGTGGCTGACATTTTGAGAGATGCTGCCAAATTGCCCTCTGAAGGGGTTGTTCTGATGTATGCTCCCTCCAGAAATGTAAGATCGGGCCTCTTTCCCTAGCGTGGGTATTTTTTATCCCTGGTTTCCATTTATAGCCTAAGCTGTCTTCATATCAGCTGAAAAGTTCAAAATGTTGGCAGCAAGGGTGGATTCTGAAGATATTCCAGATATAGAAGGGCAGGGGTGGAAGAAGTCCTGATAAGCTCCTGGAGCTAAACGAGAAAGAGAAGCTCTTCTTTTCTCCCTGGAGGAGAGGCGAGTGAAAACGCAGCTGAAGTTGGAGAAGGATAATTACATTTGTCTAAACTCCTGAAGGTCTGCTTGAGGGCACCTGATCCCAGCCCCCTGGCTTTTGGTGGCTTCTTGTTAAAATAAACATTATGGTAGCTTATTGATGGGAGAAACCTTATTTTGTAAAATGAGGTGTTTTACCTTTTCATTCCTCTTGATGATGAATATTCCAGAGTTCAGTCTTTTTAGGCTAAAATTAAGAGATTGCATTTACTGTGGACACACAATTATCTTGGTGAGGTGTAGGTCTCTTTTTATGAACCCTGAGGTTTAGAAGGATACTGTTAACACAGATACCCAAGGGTTATGGCAAATTATGTTTTTCTGCACTCGTGTAGAAGATTGGTCTAATACAGAGGTTCTCAACCTTAACTGCCAATTAGAATCACCTGGGGAACTTTTTAAAGGCCCATGTCCAGGCCTTCCCCCAGGCCAGTTAATTCAGACTCTCTGGGGGTGGGGCCAAGGCATGAGGATTTTTTTAAAGCTCTACAGGCAGTTTCAGTGTGCAGCCAAGTTTAGCAGTCGCTGGACTAGCACAGGGGATGGGAAATTTTACAGCCTGTGGACCAAATCTGGCCCTCCACCTGTTTGTGTAAATAAAGTTTTATTGGAACACAGTCACACTCATTGTTAACATATTGTTTATAGGCGCCTTTGCAGCAGAGCCTTCTGAGCCTAATTTATTCTCTGGCCCTTTACAGAACAAGTTTGCTGACTCCTGGTAGGCTAGATGGTGTGTTTCAGTAACTGCCGTGTGGAATCTGTTAACCACACAGGAATGTTCTTGAGGATGTCGATGAGCATCTCACTTGGGCAGCCCCTCCGCCCCCATTCGTGGAAGGTGTTTTTGTGAGATACATCTTTTCCAGCTTTATACTAAAAAAGGCTGCCTTTTCCCTCTGGAATCTAGTATGTGTCCTCATTTCTGAGAGCAGAAATTACGAGACAGGCCTCATATCCTTCCCCTTTTGCTGTCACAGTCGCAGCTCAGCTGTTGAAGTCCTTAAGTCCTGCTCGTACAGCTCTTTAATCTGCCCCCCCCCCCATTTTTCCCCCGGTCCTCCTCCTCCTCCTCCTCCTCCTCCTTCCCCTTCCTGTTTTATTATTGTTTTACTCTCTCTATTCTCTTTGTAAGGTGCTTCTCCAGTAAATTTGAATGGACGTTCTTCCCTCCTCTGAAGTGGCTGTGCATTCACACCGTCTTCTCTGTGAGCGTCCCCAGTCCGGCCCTGATAGGCTCTGTGAAGAGCCCCTGATGGGCACGTGCGTGCACATAGGGGCACACACACACATGCATACATGTGCACATATATGCACACGCACATACACAGATATGTTTTTTAGAGCCTTTTCTTGAACAAGGATGCTGTCTCTGCTTCCTTTGAGCATTCACTTCTGGAATCTCCTTGGCGGCCAAGCCGGAGTGTGTTTTGGGGAAAGGGCCCTTCCTAATCTTACTTGGTGGGAACCTCATTATGGTGATAGAATTAAGTCGAAGCAATTTGTTGGCTCTGGGCACCTGTGAGTGGGTTGGGTGGGGCTTTTGTGAGGCCACCTCTGGTCTCTTTGAAGGAATGAATCTCTAGATGCAGTGTAAGAGAATGCCCCTTCTGGGTGAAGGGGAAGGTGTGTGGGTCGTGTTGGAAAACAAAACTAAAACGAGGAGAGAGCGTGAAGGCTTTGAAAGCCCTGCAGTCCGGCTCTCGGCCCGTATCCTGGGCCTCTTCCCCAGCCTGGAGGACGGAGGGGGCATCTGGGTCGGTAGCAGGGAGATGGAGGAAGGTCAAGCAGTGAGCTCACAGCTGGTAGGAACAAGCCATTAGAGGTGGCTTCTCCTCTCTGTCCCTGATGGATGCCGCATGCTTTCTGACTGGTTTTTTGGGACCAGCCAGCGTAGGGCAGATGTCCCATATTCTCTGAAGGGGATGCCGGGGGTGGCAGGCAGGGTGAAAAGACAGTGCTCCCTGCCTGCACAGTCTCTCATTGCCTTCTGGGCCTTTGCAGCCACTTTCATTTTGTCCCCTTCTTATGCTTTGGGGGCACTAGAGGAGGCGGCAGAGGAGGTGGGGAAGAAATTAAAGAAATGCGAGCTCACGGACCCTTTGGAATCTGGTCCTGTTGGTCGTACAGAGAGCCCACGGCAGAAGTGGGGGACAGGACCCCTGGGCCCATGTCATCAGTCAGACGCCTTTGCCTGGGATTAGGGCGAGAAGCCTGGCCTGTTACCTGAGCGGGAAAACACGGATTTCACATCCAGGGCTAATCTGTTTGCCTTTTCTCAGATGGATGAGGTGAGCCAAAGGGAGGTCCTGCTGACTGGCCAGAAGCTCTGCCTCTCTTCTCTTTTCCCTCCCTTTCTAATTTGAGCTGCAGACTAGGTTGACTGAGAATGAAGAATGAAGCCTCCGTGGTAAATGAGGAGCCGGGGGCCCCCACTTAGCAGTGTATTCTCTGAGGGGTCCAGCGTCTCTTGGATACAGGCCCTCCCTGATCTGGGCCTCGAGCTAACAGCACACTCTGGCCAGACTCAGTGTCACTCGATCTGCTGATACTGAGATTGAACACATTACTGTAACCTTTGGCTTTCGAGATCCCTCATGATGCTGAGTTCCGCAGACAGCCATCTGGCTGGGATTGTGCATTTTAACTATTGAAAGCCACCCAGGCGATTGTTCAGTAGACTGAGTAAACCTGCCAAATGTTTTCTCGGGCTATTATCTTCAAGTCAGCCTGTCGTTATGCAGATGATATTGTTGGGACAAACGACAAAGACGTTTTAGGATGTTCCCCCCATGTTCTAAAACATGCCTGCGAGGTGGAAGCTAAGTGATGGGCCTTGTTTGTTCATTCCCCCGGTGCCTGGTCTCACGAGGGCGTGTTGGTGTCTTCCAGATCGAAGCAAGGCCGAGATGGATCTGAAGGAGCTGAGTGAATCGGTCCAGCAGGCCACGCCTGTTCCGCTCATCTCTCCCAAGCGGCAGATTCGCAGCAGGTTCCAGCTAAATCTTGACAAGACGATAGAGAGTTGCAAAGCACAATTAGGTACGTCTTCCGGTTTGCTTGCATTATCATCATCATCATCATCATCATCATCATCATTATCATTATTTAGGAATACCGCCCGGATGAAATAAGAGTTGGATCCTGGCTGCTGTTAGCAGCTGGTTTAACCTTGACTTGTTTGTTCCACTAAAATGTATTTCCACTCATGGCACAATACTTCAGATTTGCTAGTTAATTGTTCAGGAGGGCTCATTGAATTCCTCAGAGTTTGTTCTTTGGTTGCAGCAGCCTGCAGACTCGGGTGCAGGTTGTGAGAAGGTTTGGAAGCAGAAGGATCCTCCTGAGTCTGACTCCACACTCCCTCTCTGTACACGTCAGTGTCTCAACATCAGGATCACGTCTGTCCCACAAACGTCCGACACAGACCCCTTCCCCTCCAGACCGGGCCGCTCCCCACCTGGCAAACCTATCCTGCTTCTGTACCTGTTGCCTCCCTTCCCTGTGCTTCCTGCCTTCATACTGCCTACCTGAATCCTGTCCCTAAGGCTGAGCTTGGGTCTCACCTCCTCCAGGAAGTCTCCTCTGATTGCCCTCCTTATCTGCCCCCCTCCTTTGGTATTTTATTGCCCGGAAGCATCAGTGGTCCCTTCGTTTGGGGGTATCCCTCCCAATCTAGACTGGAAGCCCCTTGAGGGCAGGGAGGTTGCCTTATGAGAATTTGCCTTCTCCAAGGTACCTGGTCTTGTGCACATAGTAGATGCTCTGGAATATTTCTTGAATAAGTAAACAAAGCCAGGAGGGCGTGTATAAAGAAGTAGGGGACGGCCAGGTCTTAGGAGAGAGAGGCACTCTAAGGTGAGGTTTACATGCCAGTGGGTGCTCTGGACCTTCGGGTGAGAAAGAGCTGTAGCTGGGAGTTGTCAGGGCTGTCCAGAGGAGAGCATTCCTTGTTGGGTATCCTGTTTGGTTAGGGCATTGAGTGGCATGGGTGACATTTTGCAGGCCCTTTAAATATCTGTCTTGGGTCCTTCCACGCAGCTGGTCTAACTCCTTGATTTATTACTACTGTTAATAAGACTTTTAATATTTCCATTTCCCGAGTGCTTCCTATGCACCCTGCACTGTGCCAAACACCGTGCATAGATTGTCCTGGGAGGTCAACACTATTTTCAGTCCCATTTTGCAGATGAAGAAACTGAGGCTCAGAGAGGTAGGTCACTTGTTCAGGGTTGCACAGCTAATAAAAGCGGGGGAGCGGGATTTGAGTTCATATCCTTTGGGCTCCAGCACCGAGGCTTTTCCCGTCCCAGGTTTGGTCATGCTTGTTCTTGTGTCCAGCCATTAGCTACCAGGAGCACAAGCCCTAGTAGCATCCAGAAATTATGGCAGATCTGGGTGGTTGTATTTTGACTGCTCCTGTTTCTGATTGAGCCCTGGTCGAGGCGGATAAAATTCCCCAATGATTCTGCTGGTGTCCAGTGCCCTGGGCTGTTGGTGGCTTTTGTCGTTTTGCAAGTCTGCCTGCATTGTGTCTGGGTCACAACAGTGACCCCACTCATGGTGGCCATTGCTCTAGAATGAAGACAGTGTAAAGAGTTGATTGGGATTTCCTCTTCAAAATTTTAGGATTTAGTGGTATTTACCTACAGCTGGCTGACACTCATTACTGGGAACAGGAAACATAAATGAGTTAAATGGAACTATTGTTGGAAGTACGCTTTTGCCCATTTTTGTGTGTGTATGAAACACCTGCTATTTTGTCTTTTTCCCTTTTGATAGAGACATGGAAATGTGTGACTTTCCTCTTGGCTCCCTTGTAAATGGAGGAACAGTGCAAACACATTGGCAATTGACCCTCTGCGTCAGTGCAGGGAGCGAGAGGGGGCCCAGGCAGGGCCAGTGGCTTCTTGGCCCCAGCCAGCCGTTGCCTTGCAGGCCTCTGACCCAGAGTGGCCAAATCTAATCTTCGATCACAAGCCTGCCATCTTGATTTCTATACAGAATTTCCTGATTTGTGAATTGGACAACACATTCTAAATTCAAAAACAAACAACAAAATACCCTGTGGGCTAAACCATTGCTTTCCAAAGAAAACATGTCTGCTGGCCAGTGGTGGCTTGTGGGCTGTGAGTTTGCAGCCTCTGCTCTAAGGCTTTGGCTTATTCTTTGAGCCCTGGACACAAAGGGTGAAGGACTTGAATGCTTTGGGAATGTGTGGGAAGAGCGCTGGTGGCGAGTTAGGAGCCCAGGGTTCTGGCCTTGCCTCTGTCCTGGTTTTCTTCGTGTCCTAGGACATTGATTGCTCTGGGCCTCTATTTTCTAATCTGTAAAATGGGTCTGTTTTAACAGCTTATCTCTAGTGTTGCCTTCCATCCCTCCCATTCTCTACATCCTAATTAGCTGTCAATATTGCAAAGATTTAGCTCCACATCAATTTAAAATTTATGCTGTTAGGTCCGTGTCGTCTTTGAGTGTTAGTAACTGAAGCTCTCCAAACCTTAGTCCACTTGTCAGCTGTAGTCAGTTGCATCTTTAGTTTGCTGCTAACCCCACCAGGCCACTGTGATGCGATTTGAGATGTGTTTTTTTATTCCAGCGTTTGGCGTGGAAAATGTTTGCGTTTTTGGTCCTGCTCTTTATTTTGTGACTACGCCACATGCTGGGTTTTCTTTTTGAATTTAGGCATAAATGAAATCTCAGAAGATGTTTATACGGCCGTAGAGCACAGCGATTCGGAGGATTCTGAGAAGTCAGATAGTAGTGATAGTGAGTTTATCAGTGACGAGGAGCAGAAGTCCAAGAATGAGCCAGAAGAGGCAGAAGACAAAGAGGGCAGTCGGGTGGATAAAGAGCCATCTGCTGTCAAAAAAAAGCCCAAACTGGCAAACCCAGTGGAGACTAAAGAGGAGCTGAAAAGCACATCGCCAACCAGCGAGAAGGCAGATCCGTGTTCTGTCAAGGAAAAGGCAAGCCCCCAGCCCGAGAAGGACTTTTCAGACAAAGCAAAACCCTCGCCCCATCCCACAAAGGATAAACTGAAGGGAAAAGATGAGACGGATTCCCCAACAGTCCATTTGGGCCTGGACTCCGATTCAGAGAGCGAACTTGTCATAGATTTAGGAGAAGACCATTCTGGGCGGGAGGGTCGAAAAAATAAGAAGGAACCCAAAGAACCATCTCCCAAGCAGGATGGTAAGTGACGTACCAGTTTCCAGTTTCTTGATTTGGTTTAGAATGCCACCTTGCATTTGTCTTTTCAAATGTTATACGACCCTCTAACATCACGAAGGAGGCACAGCAAAGCTTTGACTGGCTCAAGGTCACCCAGCTAGTTACTGAACAGGACCAGGACTTAACCTGGGCCTACCTACCTTTTACCTGCTTGGTACCTAACATGTTGATTTTGAGCGCAGAAAAAGGAGTCTTTTAGAAATAGTAGATGCTTTTAGCGGTCAAGTCATTTTTAACCTAAGCAACTTCTTTCCCAGCGTGTTCACTCGTTTCCCTGAAGTGTTTGTCAACCTTTAGATGTTTGACGAGGCCAAACTTGTTAGAAGTGTTGAGTTTAAAGGTCTTGATGAGTTCATCCTCCTTTTCCTGCCTTCCTGCTGCAGGCATCTCAAAGTGCATTTTCTAAGTAGAATACGAGACCATTTGGGTAGGTGGTGCCCGAGTGGTGAGTGCTTCTTGGGGCACTAGAAATTGGAGGGGCATTGTCTGGTGGGAACCTGAGTTGGTGTTCCACCACGTTTGCATGGACCTGAGTCCAGGGTTTCTCAGCCCTGGCCCTGTTGACATTTTGTGCTGGATAATTCTCTGTCCTGGGCTTTGGAGGATGTTTCGCAGCATCCCTGGCCTCTACCCATTGGATGCCAGTAGCACCTGCCCCATTGTGGCCATCAAAAGTGTCTTGACATTGCCCGATGTCCCCTAGGAGGCACAGTCCCCCGCCCCCAGGTTGAGACTCACTGCCTGAGGGTCAGCAGTGCTCCCGTGGCTGCTGTTACAGACTGCACCAGCAGCGGCTGCCCTCAAGCCTGCCGCAGCCCAGGCATGTCGGCAAACCCTCCAGAAGGAACATGTGGATGATTTGAAGGGTGTCCTTCCCATTGACAAAGCAGTCAGCACATTTTTCAGTTGCTTGGCAGGTGGGTATGAGGGGCTTCCTACATGCCCAAGAAAGATAGTGGAGCATTGATTGGGGGCCCAGGAGGAACATTGCCTGAGGACAAATTGGACATTGTAGCCATAAAACCTTGTGTCCTTTGTGAGTAGTCTAAGGCATAGCCAGCTTTAGTTTTTGACTCTGCCTGACTTTGCACAGGAGCTAACTTCTCAAGCAAACCCTTGAGTAAGATTGGATTCTCTGCCCCTGGGGATTTCCTAGTCTGGCTGCTTAAAGCAAGTTGGGGATGAGCTTTGAGAATCTTCCCTTTGTGGTTGGGTCAGCCTGGGCTTCTTGGAGCCTCAGTTGTTACGGGGAGAGAATTCCTGCAGCTCATCAAAAGAGGGCGAAATGTCTCTGAGTGGTGGGATGGAGGCAAAGAGAGAAGTAGTTGATGGGGACAGGAAGGATAGACACCACACCACCCGAGTCATCTCTCAGATTTATGGATGGCCTCGGAAAAATCCGATTATGCTGTGGATTGGGGTTTGAGGGACCGACGCTGGTGTTGCGGAGAACAATAGGAGTGGCATTTATTCCATGAGATTTGTGGGAGTATTTGAGTACAGATGGCAGTATTCCTGTGAATGATATATTTACACTGTTCCTTTCTTTCTGGAACAGACCTTTTGATTGATTGGTTTTATTCCTCTTCTGGAAAGGATTTGCGACAGATTGACAAGAATACATAACCATGAAACCAGATGAATATAAAGGAATCAGTGTAAAAGATGAAGGTAGAATAGTGAGGGGTGTGGGGAAAGGTTGTGTAGAGAAATATGTACTTCACCCTTCAGAGTTAGCAAAGTTGGGCATCTGTTTTGGCTTTGAGCTTCCTAGCAGTCAAAGCAAAAAGAGAAACACACACCCTTAAAAGATCTCTTCTTTTCCAAAAAATAGAAGAACACTCCAGTTGAGTAAATGAAGCAGAACTCTTCCTCGCACTGATGTCTGAAGGAAATTTCTCCAGGAGACCCTGAGTGTGTGGTGGATGATTAAGCTAAAGATGATTCTAAGACGTAATTCAGTTAAAGCAGCTTCCCAGGGGTTGGGGCAAGTCCATCTTAAATCCAGAGCCCCTTGATGGTGTTTTGGGTCTTGAAGGATCGGCTTCGTGTCAGACTCCATGTAGATCGTCTTTTCAATGATGTGCTTTCTCTTATGAGTTTATTAAAGTGAAGGGCATTTTAGAGTGTGCTGTGGTGACCTCCAGCTTACCTTCAGCTAGGGATGCAGCTTATGCGTAGAATATGAATCCTCAGATAGCAAGACAGCTTTTATGGCTGGTAATCTCAGAACACAGGCCAAATAAAGCTCGCTTAGAGACCTTTGCTGTGCTTACCCTGTAACGTCAGTCATTTCTATCCTTCTCTTAAAAAGTCCTCCCTGTAGGTACAAGACGGTGACCAGACTGGAATAAGGAGGTTAGTGTGATGGGGCACCTTCTGGAGTGCTGGACTTTAAGGGATTCACCGTTTTGGGGCTATAGGTGATTGATTAGATACTTTGAATTTCTAGGACAAATGGAATTTTCCATTGCCTCTTTTTTTTTCTCTGTAAACCATCAGAATCCCCTAGAAATTAAACTGTTTTAGTGTCTAAATGATAACCCCCAAACAGCATTCGAGCCTGGAATCTTTTCAGATTGCACACTCCAGGTTTTTATTTGGAAAAGAGAGCCAGCCGTGACCACTGCAGAACCGTAACCCATCTGCAAAGCTGGCTGTTGGCTTTTGAAAATCATGCGAGAGAAAAGGACCTTTTTGTGAGTGCTCTTTGCCGGAGGAGGGAGGGACTAGGCTAGGTAATGAACAGTAACAATACATTTTTTGATCACATGGCAGAAAAGGGAGGCATTGAGGGTGCTTCTGCAGGTTAGAAACCCTGCCAGGGGGACTGCGCCTGGTGCAGGACTCTTAGAAGGGCCCAGTTCAGAGCCTCCTCCGCGCCTGGAAGGGGCAGGGGCATGGGCATATCCAGTATCCAGCAGGTCATCCTGAGGAAGGGCGGGGCTCCTCACTGCAGGAGGAGCTCCCCTTCCAGCCCCACCTTGTGTTCTCGCCCACACACTTGGCTGAACTTTCCTCTCCAGAGGAGCAGAGGGCCAGCCAGATGTGATGACCACCAAGAAAGCCTCCAAACCAGAAAAGTCAGCTTATCTTTCCCCTCACTCTCCCTGGCTTCCCCGAACCCACAGCTTACTGAAAATCCTCCCTAGAATAATCAAGCTCGCATCTTTTCTGGGTGATAGAAATCTAAATAGACAGGTGTAATCCTTATTAAAAGGAGTTTGATGTCAAGGCACATTGTCTAAGATCAGGGTGCTGACTTGCACCCGTGTTTTGTGTGTGATCCCGGGGCATCCTTTTTGGGGGGCAGGCTCACCTCACTAGTGGCTGGGACCTCTGCAGTGATGACTGACCCCAAGCACTCACGTGGTCGCCCCCTTCCGCGCTGCTCAGTGCTTCTGGCTCTAACCTGCCTCTGGCCACCCCTTACTGCCTACCCTCACTTACCAGAATGCTCCCTGTTCCTAAACACGTCTTGGCTAATGCTATTCCCCTCCAGATTCTCACTTCTGCCTGTTGAAATCCCACCCCCACCCCCATAGCCCAGATCCTCCCAGAGAACGTTCTCCTTATGGCAGCTTTTTTCAAACTTTAGTCATTCACATTCATTATTTTTGCCGTTCCTGTGTCCTGCTTGTATAATTATTGACTTCGTATTTTTATTTGAAGCGACTCACTCTAAAAAAAACAACTCATTTTAGACTTAAACTGGATCACCACGCATTAGGTAAGCCAGTATTGTGTGCTGTACCTAAAAGATGGTGGCAGGAATAAATACAGTCAAAACAAAAGCAAGCTTCCTGAATTCTAGGTAAATACCATTGTGTCGGGGAAGGTTCTGGCCTTGGGGTGAAATTCCCTTTAGCGGTAGGTGTCGAGACTATCAGCACCACACTGAGACTTGGTGCTGGACAGAATCGGAAGAGATTAAAGGGGTACTTTTCTTTCTGGGTTACTTATGTTACCCAGGGCTTTGGCCCTTGGGAAGCCACCTGGTTCCCTGGGGTACATGCTCTGTAAGTTCCCCAGCCAAAACGTTTCTCTTAATCTCTGGATTGACCGTGGCTGGGTCTTTCTCGAAGTACTTACCCAATTCTCACTTGGTAAAACAAGACCCTTGCAGTGATCCTTGTCATCCACTGCCCCTTCCACCAGTTGGGGGTTTGGCTTGAGGGCAGGGACTGGGTCTCGTTTGCCCTATTTCCCCCAGAGGCCTTGACATGTGTCTCAGATGTGAGCAAGTGCTCACTCAAGGCGGCTGATACCGTGTGAGATAGAAGATGCTGCAGCAGCTGTCGAAGTGTGTAAGATGAGAATGTGCTTCCTTGGTCGGGGCATCCTTGATGTGCTGAATTTGTTCAGCATTCCTGGCCTTGGGTTGTTTCCCCCAGAATTTGCTGGCATAGAGACCCTGCTGGCGAACCTGAATCAAATCTACTTTTTTCTTTTTTTTTTTTTCACGCATTGGCTTTAGTTGTAGGTAAAGCTCCACCGTCCACCACGGCAGGCAGCCAGTCTCCCCCTGAAACGCCGGTCCTCACCCGCTCTTCCGCCCAAACTCCCACGGCTGGTGTCACGGCCACCACCAGCACCACGTCCACGGTCACGGCCCCGGCCGCCGCCGCCACAGGAAGCCCGGTGAAAAAGCAGAGGCCGCTTTTACCGAAGGAGACTGCCCCGGCCGTGCAGCGGGTCGTGTGGAACTCATCAAGTAAGTTTCAAACGTCCTCCCAAAAGTGGCACATGCAGAAGATGCAGCGCCAGCAGCAGCAGCAGCAGCAGCAAAACCAGCAACAGCAGCCTCAGTCTTCCCAGGGGACGAGATATCAGACCAGACAGGCTGTGAAAGGTACCAAGCCTCCCCTTCTGCTCTCCGTGGCGCCCGGTCCCTTTTTGCCACATGGACAGGAGAAAAACCATTGTTGTTTTATTTTTTGAGTTCTCCTTTGTTTACTGGCCATTGTATCCTGAAGGCCTTACACATTCCACTTGGCATAATTTTTAAAACTTGTTTTGCAACTTGGATTTTTACTTTTATTTATTTTTTTATTTTATAAAAAACAATACGTGCATAGATTCTTCTTAGAAAGGGGTAAAATATTTACACAAAAATTTCTTGTGTTGATTGACCTTCCATTTCATTTTCCACCCTTTCTTAGTGGCCACTCTTAACTGTAAAACTCTTTTTTATGCATGTATGCATATATATTTTTATATATATATATATGACTTCATAAAAATATTACTTTTTTTTTTTTCCTTTTTCCTTTTTTAAAACATAAAAATGGTACCATTCTTGCTTTTTTTCACCCATCAGCATGTTTTGGAGGTCTGTCCATGTCACTACATAGAGATCTACCTTATTCTTTTGGACTGCTGCATAGTATTCCATAGTTTATTTAAAGTATTCCCCTACTGATGGGCATTTAGGATTTTCCAGTTTTTTCCTTTTGTAAGCAGTGCTGCAATGAATACCTTTGGATAAGTTTCCTTGTGCACATGCATGAAGCCCTTGGCATTATTTTGGAGAGTGCAGTGGGAGCAGTAGGTAGCAAAGGCTACCTTAATAACTAGGGATCAGCCACACACAAAAGAAGAGCCAGCATCAAGTACCAGTTGCTGAAGTTGTGGAATCAAAACTCCCACCAGCCATGCAGCAGGCTCCACCTGGAGCTGATGTAAGGCCAAAGAAGGTGCCATCTGATGGGTACCCGTGTGCCCAGCTTTTGTGAGCACTGATGTAGATCTAGTCCTACAGGGAAACCTGCAACTAGATCCTTGAAGGTCAGGCTCCTTGGTTGAAGCTCTCACATAGTGAGTGCACCCTAGTGAGTAGAACTCTTAAGAGTAGCAGGATGGGAAGTTGAGAGTAGCCGAATCTTGAATTGTCCCACAATGAAACCCTTCAAAGGTTGAGGCAGGTGGAGACTGAAAGATTGGACAGGCAAAATTGGAGTAGAGCCGATGGATCCTGCTGTGTACAAAGTTGGTGGGCAGAACTGAAGCTAGGACATTTGAGATTGAGATGACCAGTTCCCGTCTTCTGTCTTCATGGCCCATGAGCATTATGAGCCGTCCCCAGGGGAATATAGGTGCTGGCAAGAAGAGGCTCATTGACAGGATGGTTCTCAATTTGTAGATTGTCCTGTGTCCAAGATAAACAAAGCTGGACACTAGTTAAAGGTGTAAGGACAGATTTTAATCAGTAATATACTATTGCAATAGGGAAAACAGTCCAGTGTGAATTGAAGTCAACTGCGATTTGTACAAAGGTGACTGGGTGTTTCAAAGGGAGAATGAGGGAGAAGGGAGGCGGGCGAGTGGGGACTCAGTAAGAGTCAGGGTGTGAAAAATTATAAAAAGCGGGAAGGGGGATTGCTCCATCTGAAACCTGTTTGCTGACTGGCATTGAAGTTGGGTTCCTACCCTCCCACAGAGCCTGGGAGACGGGGCCCTATCCTCAGGTATTGGCTGGAACAAATAGTCAATTCAGTTGGCAGCCTTGAATTTTCTCAGGCAGGCACTGTAAGAGGGCCTGGGGTCATCCTAGGGATGCGGCCTTGAGCTGTTCAAAGCTGTGTTAGTATTTGCCCCAGTCTTTATAGGCCAAGGTTGAGGCCTATTTGAGAAAGGGTTCAGAGGAGCCTGGCTAGAGTTTGGTCCAGGGTAGAATTTTTGTCACTTGAAAGTAGAAAAGCTCACGGGGCACATATCAAGGGCTCCACTCCCACACCACAGCTCTGTGCTGGGATGGGCCCTTCCCACGGCAGTGGGGTGACCAGGACCCTTTGCTTTCCTAGCTGTCCAGCAGAAGGAGATCACGCAGAGCCCGTCCACCTCCACCATCACCCTGGTGACCAGCACTCAGTCGTCGCCCCTGGTCACCAGCTCCGGGTCCACGAGCACCCTCGCCTCTTCAGTCAGTGCAGACCTGCCCATCGCTACCGCCTCCGCCGACGTTGCCGCGGACATCGCCAAGTACACTAGCAAAGTGAGTACCAGCAGGCCCCTGGCAGGATGTCAGAGGACCAGCTTCCTGACGGGAACCACGGGGTCATGACCTCGCAGTTTTAGTGGGGAATCTAGGAGGGAAAACCTTGTTTTACTGAGGATCTCCACGACCAGACTCTTTCATTTGGGTCTAAAGTTGGATCTAGCCAGAGAAATATAGAATGGACTGAATCTAGAGGGCTTAGATTCTTCTTCTTCTTCTTTTTTTTATTTTTTGTGAGGAAGATCAGCCCTGAGCTGCCATCCGTGCTAATCCTCCTCTTTTTGCTGAGAAAGACTGGCCCTGAGCTAACATCTATTGCCAATCCTCCTCCTTTTTTCCCCTTTTTCTCCCCAAGGCCACAGTAGATAGTTGTATGTTATAGCTGCACATTCTTCTAGTTGCTGTATGTGGGACGTGGCCTCAGCATGGCCGGAGAAGCGGTGCATCGGTGTGCGCCCGGGATCTGAACTCGGGCCGCCAGCAGCAGAGCACGCGCAGTTAACTGCTAAGCCACTGGGCCAGCCCGCCGAGGGCTTAGATTCTAAAATCAGCACATAGCAGGATAATGACATAGAATCAAAATTACCCTTCAGGTTCAAGTCACTCATTAAGGACAGATTTTCCCTAAGCATTGAAACAAGTTTCTGTTCTTTCAGTTAACCACAGACCAAGGGGTTGGTTTGCATTTAGAAGCCACGGGGAACCAATGTGACAGAGGCATAAACGTGAGACTTGTAAGGTACAACGTCTGCACCTAGATGTTTCCAGGAGCCAGAATGGACTGGGGAGTAGTGGGTTCCCCCGCTGACTCGTCCCCCCACCCTGGGCCACACTCCTTGTGAGTGGCCTGGGGGCCAGGATTCCCTGCTGTGGGTTCACTTGTGGGCTCTCTCTCAGCATCAGCTCTTGCCTTTTATCTCTTAACTTACTGAGTGCTTTTATGCTCATTGTTGAATCCGGTGGATAAAACCTGCAGCTCTCCTCACTGTCGTACAAGTGCCCTGGAGAGCTGTGCAGGTGCATATCAATAGAGCACTTGGCAGTCATAACCACCACCAGATTGTCAGCTCCATGAGGGCAGGATTCTGTCTGTTTTGCTCACTGCCAGGGCCTAGAACCATGCCTGCACATAGTAGGTGCTTGATTCATAGTTGTCGAATGAATGCGTATTGTTGCCTAAATTCTCGTCATTGGCCTTATTACTATCAGTAACTATTGATAGTAGCTAATGAGTAATAATCTACTAAGAGTATTTAGTAAATTACTAAGTAGGCAATAATAATAATGAGTAAACTATTCAAGTTTCTAGACAGAATGAATGACAGTAGGTGAGAACAGTCGTTTCTAGGATTCTTGAAATTTCATGATAAAGAGTTACTTTATTATGTTGTGTTAAAGGTAGAATCTTTTTTAGTTCTGGATGGTGAGAGACCGTATATATAATTTTTTACCAATGAGTTTTTGTCGGTCATTTTTTTATTCCTTTTATTTAAGAGTATTAGTTACCTGTGGCTGCATAACCGATTGCTGCAAAACGTAGCAGTTGAAAACAACACACATTTCTTGGCTCACAGTTTCCGTGGGTGTGGAGTCTGGGCATGGCTCCGCTGGGTCCTCTGCTCTGGGCCCTCTGGCAGGCTATAGTCGAGGTGCCTGCTAGGGTTGAGGTTTCATCTGAAGGTGCGATTGGGAAAGGATCCACTTCACTTAAGTGATTGTGAGCAGGATTCACTTCCTCGAGGGCTTTTGGGCTGAGGCCTCAGTTCCTAGCTGGCTGTTGGCTGGAGGGTGCCCTCAGTTCCTTGCTAGGTGGGCCTTCTCAACATGGCAGCTTGCTTCCTTTAAGCGTGTTAGAGAAAGCCTGCTAGCAAGACGGAAATCACAGTGTTGCATAGCGTAATTGCCGAAGTGGCATCCCATTACCTTTGCCATATTCTGTTGGTTAAAAGCAGGTTGCTAGGCCCGCCCACACTCGAAGGAGGGCGGATTACACAAGGGCACAAATACCAGAGCACTGGGATCTTTGGGAGCCATCTTCGAATCCGTCTGTCACACTAGGTAGGATGAAGTGGCAGTAGCTAATGTTTGCATGGCGTTTACTTGGGGCCAGACACGGCTCCAAGCGCTCTGTGTACATTACTTACTCAGTCTTCTTCACAAATTGATGAGGTGTAGTACTGTTATCCACCCCCGTTTTATAGATGGGAAAACTGAGGCCCAGCGAGGTTACACAACTTATCTAGGGTCACACCATCAGTGAATGGCTGAGCTGGGATTTGAATGGCAGCAGCCAGGATCTAAAGAGTGCTCTTTACCTGGCTTTGAGCTGGTTTCTGAATTTACACCAAGCCTGCTGACCACAGATGTCCAGTGTCCACAAGCTGATTGTTCTTGTACATGGGGTGTTTTTTTTTTTTTTTTTGTGAGGAAGATTAGCCCTGAGCTAACACCTGTTGCCAATCCTCCTCTTTTTGCCAAGGAAGATTGACCCTGGGCTAACATCTGTGCCCATCTTCCTCTACTTTATATGGGATGCCTCCACAGCATGGCTTGACAGACAGTGCGTTGGTGCGTGCCTGGGACCTGAACCTGTGAACCCAGGGCCGCCGAAGTGGAGCACGCGCACTTAACTGCTACGCCACCAGGCCGGCCCCACACGTGGCTTTTTTTTTTTTGTCAGGAAGATCAGCCCTGAGCTAACATCCATGCTAATCCTCCTCTTTTTGCTGAGGAAGACCGGCTTTGAGCTAACATCTATTGCCAATCCTCCTTTTTATCCCCAAAGCCCCAGTAGATAGTTGTATGTCATAGTTGCACATCCCTCTAGTGGCTGTATGTGGGACGCGGCCTCAGCATGGCTGGAGCAGCGGTGCGTCGGTGCGCGCCCGGGATCCGAACCCAGGCCGTCAGTAGTGGAGCTTGCTCACTTAACTGCTAAGACGTGGCTTTTTTTTAAGTAGCCCCACTTCATTAAGATTCAGTGTGTCTAAAGAGATCATCAGAACTAGTCTTGGGGACAACTTGGTCTCTTATTTAGTATGTCTGTCCCCTTTTTGAATAAATTGCATGAATTGTTATCAAGTCCCTCAGTTTCAGAACAGGAAGGATTCAAGTGTCAGTTATCTGTTGTCCTCAAGACTTTTGTCTTACCTGTTGACCACCTGAACTACTACTGATTTAATATTTTTATTTAAATTAAATTAAATTTTATTTAAATTAAATTAAATTAAAGAACTTAAGTAAAATTAAGGTTATCCTCACCAGATACTGTTCCTTGTCAAGGCTTGAAGCCTACGTCCGTTTTCCTTTCGTTAAAAAGATTGTCATGAAAGTGTTAACGACATACTGGCACCAAACTGAGACTTTCTTCCTAACATGATCCGTAGGATTCCAAGAGAATTGAAGGGGGGGGAGTTTTTTCATTACTGATTTAAGAAGATGTCTGGTATTGCCCAAATGGTCTCTTGTTCTCTTTGCAATTGACCCTTGTGTCACACCTTCCATTGATTTGGTCCAAGCTGTCTATTTACAGATGGGAAAACTGAGGCTAGCAGAGTAGATCTGGCTAGTGGTTTGCGCCGAACTAGTTTTCTCAGCTTCTGCAGCCATTTTTATTCCAGTACCTTCTGCCTCCTCCTTTACTCAACAAAATTGAGGAATGAACTTTCTGATAGACATTTTCTTTGCAGTTAAGAAAATGAACATAGTGACATATTTTTGGAGCTGATGAACTTTCCTGTCTCTGAGGTGACCCGGAGTTGAAGACCCAGATTTGTGTGTTTTGGCAGATGGGCCCTCTTTATTAATGTTGAGTTCTTTGCTATATTTGGAAGTAAGAGTGAAAGTCCGTCCACAAATTCATGATTTCTTAAAAATGGAATGTAACCATTGCATTAGTAATGTATTGAATTTCATCCACTTTCTAAAGTTTTCTTGTAAAGCAATTCTGTTTTAATATTTTAAATGGACGTGGTTGGTGCAGTGGGGTAAGGAGGCGCATACAGAATGACCAACTCGTAAAGCTGCATAAAGCACGTGTTTTTGCTGGCAGCATCCCGGTGTGGCCCCTGCAGCAGGCTGGAAGCGGAAATCTCAACAGATATTTTATTCATTTTCTTCTCATTTTGGGGTGAATTTGGGATTACTATTTTGGGAGTTGGCAGCAGTTTTGCAATTACATGCTCATGTGAATTTATTTTTCTATAAAGACAAGATGAACAAGTATTTCTTCATGAACACCTACTCTGCGGCAGGTACTGAACCACAGTCTTTACATGGCTTTCTCGTTGAATCCTTGTGCACACCCTCCAGGGGGCACTCTTATTATCCTGTTTTCTACATGGGGAAACCGAGGCTCAGAGAGAGCATGGATGGAAAGAGGTAATGGTAGGAACAACTCGGGCAGATACGAGGGTGCTGTTTGTCCTGCCTTCTTACTGAAGTGGAGCAGGCTGCAAAACACAGGGAGACTGGGCAGCAGCCAGGCCTGGCCTGAGACCTAGCTTAGGCTCCTGTCCCCTCCTCTTCTGTGATGCAGGAGGGGTCAGTCGGCAAGTGGGAGGTAGAAGAGAAATTCATCCTGCAAATAACTATTCGGTCAGCAGATACAGGGTGCCTGCTGCGTGGACCTGAGCTGATGTCACAAACTTGCTGATGCCCTCAGGGATCAGATAATTAAAGAAAAGGAAGATAGGAAACAAACTAGAAAGGTAGTGCCCTCACCAAAGGCATTAAAATGACAAACCAGCTCTCTCCACATGATGGACTCTATTATTCGTCCATGAAAAGGAGTGAATTACTGATACGCCCTGCAACACAGATGAATCTTGAAAACTTTGTGCTAAGTCCACAAGGCAGTCACAAAGGACCATGGATGATTCCATGTATATGAAATATCTAGATTAAGCAAATCCATAGGATTAGAAAGCGGAGTAGTGGTTGTCAGGGCCCCAGGGGGCGATGGGGACCTTAGGAGGTTAAGGGGGCATGGAGTTTCTTTTTGGGGTAATGAAAAGGTTCTGAAATTGATTGTGGTGATGGAGGTACAACTCTGAATATACTAAAAGCCATAGAATTGTACACTGTAAATGGGTGGATTGTATGGTATATGAATGATATCGCAATAAAACATTTTTTTTAAGGGGAGTGCATTTAAAAACAATAGCAACAAAACAATCTCTCCCTCGAACTCACTGTGTTGGCCAAATTAAACATATCCGGGGGCCACATTTGGTCTCCCCAGTTTGTCTGTGGCTATAGAAACTAGCTTTATGGTTGTGAACTGCCCCCACAATATGAGACAGGGAATTGGTGGGTGAATTCCTTACCCTGGTGTACACCAGGGTTTCTCAGCCTTGGTGCTAGTGACATTTTGGGTTGGATAATTCTTTATCGTGGGGGCTGTTCTGGACACTGTAGGATACTTAGCATATCTCTGGCTTCCCCCTATTAGAGGCCAGTAGCACTCTCCACCCCACCCCCTCCCCACCAGTCTTGACAACCAAAAATGTCAAATGTCCCATGAGGAACAAAATCGCCTCCAATTGAGAGCCACTGCTTTATCCAGATAGATTGTAGATATATGTCATCTAGAAAAGCCTCAGGGAAGTGATCACTGAATTGTTTCTGTTTTTATCTTTCAGATGATGGATGCAATAAAAGGAACGATGACAGAAATATACAACGACCTTTCTAAAAACACTACTGGAAGCACAATAGCCGAGGTCAGAGATGACACAGTAATTCCTTATTTGCTAAGGGTGTTTTATGGCTGCTGCAAGCTGGGGCCGTGAAGAAGCTCCTCTGAAAATCCAGCAGGCAGCTTGCTCTGTTGAGTGTGGTCGTTGCCGAGGGTGTTTCTTCATTTGGCCAGAAGGCTGGCACTGCGGAGACAACCCTGCTTTGTGTAATCAGTTCACGTCTAATAAAACAGCCAAAGCCAGAGCCTGAGTTAACCCAGTGGTGAAACGGGAAACCAGTTCTTTTGGCTTCATATAAAGTTGTCTCCTTGATCTTCTCCATAAGTTGGGATGTTTGTATACAAGTGATCCTTGCTGTCCATGAATTTGTGCGCTGAGCCTCCACAATTAGGTGATTGCCTAGCGAACAGAGTGGTTAAAACATTAAAATGTCCACTAATGAAGCGACCATTTATAAAAATAGACCTCCCGGAACTTCCCTCTTAGGCCAATTTGCTTCAAGCCAGATGCAGATGGGTCACTGGTAAGGTGACAAGTGGTGGGATTTCTTGAGGTCATTAAAGGGATGTTGGAGAACTGGGAACTCCATGCCAAAGCCATTGACTGATGAGCCAGGGGTAGGCTGGCACTCAGACAGAACATCTTCAGGAAGGTGTCCTGATGGCTTTCAACAGAGAACAGTGTGAATATAAAGGTTTGAGAGAGGCCCCGAGAGAAATCAGTGGATCCCCTTGGATATTTTTGTTACTCTGACCCTATTTACGATGATGCTGGGGATGTCAAACAAGAATGGAAAATATTGCTTTAGAAACAACCCCCCCCACACTCCCGCCCCCACTACCATACTTCATTCTGTTTTGCTCATTCTAAGAATTGGCATGTGATTGAAAGTACAGATCTATAATGTCTCGCTTGAAACCTTGGGTCCAGATGTGTGCCAGAATTTTTCAGGTTTTAAAGAGATAATATGCAATTAGATACAACATTTCTGCAGTGAAACAGAATTGTTCAGACCATGTGGGATAAATCAGGATTTCTCAACCTCAGCACTACTGACATTTGTGCCAGATAATTCTTTGTTGTTGGGGTTTTCTGCACGTTGTAGGATGTTTAGCAGCATCCCTGGCCTCTACCCACTAGATGCCAATAGCATCCACCTGTTGTGACAACCCCAAATGTCTCCAGACACTGCAATGTCATGGAGGGAGAGGGGAGAGCTCTTTGAGAATCACTATAATAATTAAACACTGTAATAGCTTCATATCAGTTCAGATTGAGTTTAATTTTTCCCCTTCCAAATGAATTTAGCCCCAAACTTACCCCTCCCCCAAAAAATTCCCTTTGGTTTTTAGAGATATTAGACTTTGGAATTTCAGGTGAATGACTGTGGACCTCACCTAAAATGTTAGGTAAGAGGTGAGATAAAACTATCTATTTGTTTTAGTTTGACTTCTTTAGACCAAAGTCCTAATCAAACCTTTTATGTTTTATTTATTATGAGAATCTGGTCCTTGTTTTCACTTTAAGTGGCTTTTCTGAAGCCAGTATTTCTTGGGAAAGATGGACTGCTTGTATTCGGTTTTCTTGAAACAGACTTTCTCGTGAATTTGGGTGAATGCACTGGCACCCGCCTCTCTGGCCTGTGGCTGTGGGAGGATGGGCACAGGTCCAGGCTGCCTGCTCCTCGATTCACTGCGTGACGTTAACCCTCAGAGGGGTGAGAGCCGGGGGTCCTGACCCTGTTGGTGACGGGCACCCAGACGCGCTTTTGAAGCCTTACTCTCCCTCCTTACAGATTCGCAGGCTGAGGATCGAGATCGAGAAGCTTCAGTGGCTGCACCAGCAAGAGCTGTCCGAGATGAAACACAACTTGGGTGAGGGCTGGGGCTCGGGCTGTGCGGGGGAGGGCGTTGGGTGTGCACTTCCCTGCACTACTGGAGTAGGGTCCAGATGTGAACTGAGTCAAAAGTGGGCTGTGGGGGATGCACCACTCCTGGGGAGACCCCAGAATCCTGGAGCGTCTAACCTGGGGAAACCAGAGAGCAGAGCAGGTGTTGGTGGGAACCCGCCCTTCCTTTCTTCAGAGTATTGACATCAGCAACAAAAGAACAGTTAACAGCAGCAGTAGCGGCTCCTACTTATTGAACTCTTAACTTGTGCCAGGAACCGTTTTAAGTACTTTTTCATGAAATAACTGATTTAACTCTTACAGAAACTGTTATAAAGGGCTCTGTTATTCTAGTTTTCAGGTGGAGAGACTGAGGCACAGATATGTTGAGGAAGTTGTTCACAGTCACACAGCCGTGATTCACGTCTGGCACTCTGGCTCCGGACTGTCCCTCCTAACCATTGAACGTTGGGCATATAACAAATTCCGCGTGCCTCACACTGCAGACAAAGCTCCTTTGTTGGTTCCTGGGTTAGATTGATGTTGTGCCTGCCGTTCTGCATAGATATTCGTAAAGGTTCCGCCACCCAAAGGTAGAGCAGTTTCTTTCAGACGCTCGTGTAGTATTAGCCTCAGGGTCAGGAAACCCGCGGCTCTCTTGTTAGGGAGGCCCGCCCAGGCGTGCTCACCTGCTCACCGGCGATTCCTGTTAAATCAGGCATTGCAGACTGAAATCGTCATGAAACCAGCGAGAGAGGAGCCTTGCGCCCTCAGCTTATTGCCGTGAAGGACGTTTCTGTGGATGTTGCTGCTGCTTCTGGTGTTTCCAGTAGAATCAAGGAATCTATTTTTATGCAGAATCTCTCTATTTTTAAAGTATTGGCCGCACATTTGAAAAAAATATGCGTGGGCTAGGCTAGCCAGAACTTGCTGTGGTTTGCAGGCTCCTCGTTAAAGGCAGTGATGAGTAATGGAAAGGTTGTTTCTGGCCACAAGTGTTTTTTGTCTTCTTGATGAGGGGTTAATTTTCTTTACTGGTGTTTTTTGAAGGTTTTTTGTTTTTTTTTTAATTTCAACAAGAGGATTTTAAGGAATTGAGGAAACTTTTATTTCAGTGTGCAGGTCACTCTTGGGTGAATTGCAAATGCACTTATTGTCTGAAGTAAAGTTAGAGAAATCTCAGTGAGCTGAGCAGGTTGATAGTTGTCCTATTAGCATAATGATGAACCAAAACGCCCCGTCCGGTAGATTTGATCCACCGCCACTAAATACTAAAAAGAAGGCGTGTCCGAGTTCTAGTTGCAGATCTGCCCTTATTAGCTGTGTGCCTCAGTTTCCTCATCGGTGGAAGGGCTTTATAGTAGTGCTTACATCATAGGATTGTATAGGGTTAAATGAGTTAATAGAAGGTACTTAGAACAGTGCCTGTGTCTAGTAGGTGCCGTATAACTATTTGATTGATTAAGAAAAAAGGCTTATACTAATGGTAAAACTCAGAGTGAGTTTAGTGGAAATGGTTTCGAGGGTTCATTAAGGGCCTCCCACAGAATCACCGTGGCGTTCCCCTTATCTCAGCGCGAGGCGCCTGACGTTCATTATCACGAGCAGCTCCATCGGGTCGGTGTGGCGAATGCCTGTTTTACAGATGAGACACGGGGCTTAGGGAAGCGGGGTTCCCCTCCCGGGGTCACACCGCTGGGGCGTCTCCCAGCCAGGATTCACACCGTGTCTGTCGGAGTCCGCTTCTTGTCTGATCTGGTGTGAAGAACCTCACGCCCGGGGCTGGAGCCGGGGTGAAGCCCGTGTCCTGTCCCCTCCTCTGTCAGAGCTGACCATGGCGGAGATGCGGCAGAGCCTGGAGCAGGAGCGGGACCGGCTCATCGCCGAGGTGAAGAAGCAGCTGGAGCTGGAGAGGCAGCAGGCGGTGGACGAGACCAAGAAGAAGCAGTGGTGTGCCAACTGCAAGAAGGAAGCCATCTTCTACTGCTGCTGGAACACCAGCTACTGTGACTACCCCTGCCAGCAGGCCCACTGGCCCGAGCACATGAAGTCCTGTACCCAGTCAGGTACGCACGAGGGCGCCGCCTGTCCCAGGCTGCGGTGGGGCGGGCCCTCGGCCCTGCCACGGGGCCGCGGAGGGGGCTGACGCGGCGAGGGTGGCCTGCCCAGTCCCTCGCCACCCTCGCAAACAGCCGTGTCTCTTACACACAGAGAGCAGCATGCAGGCACATAGCTGAGACTCGAAGCACAGGTGTTTAGAACCTCTGACCTTCTTTGTGTTGTTTGCCAAAGTCTGGGGCTTGTAATGACAACCTAGAGGACTTCAGTTTCATGTGAGTTTCGGTGGTTGTTCCCCTCTTCCCCGTCGCCCAGTCCTTGGCAATGACGAGGCATTTGTGGTGGTTATAACTGAGGGGGCGCTACTGGCATCTAGAGGGTAGAGGCCAGGGATGCTGCTCAACACCCTAGGAGGCACAGGGTAGCTCCCCACAACAGAGAATGATCTGGCCCAAAATGTCAGTAGTACTGAAGTTGAGAAATCCTGCTTTTTACGTAATCCTGGACTCACGGCTTTTTATTTTTGTGAGGAAGATCAGCCCTGAGCTGACATCCATGCCAATCCCCTTCTTTTTTTGCTGAGGAAGACTGGCCCTGAGCTAACATCCGTGCCCGTCTTCCTCTACTTTATGTGGGACGCTGCCACAGCATGGCCTGACAAGCCGTGCGTCGGTGCACGCCCGGGATCCGAACCCAGGCCGCCAACAGCGGAGCGTGCGCACTTAACCGGGGCCGGCCCTCACGGCTTTAAATAATAAGGATTCTCAGTTCTTATGTGAAGGAGAAAGTATTGGTTTGGAACTAATCTGTTTTTGTAATCTCTTTCTAACACAGAGCGAGCAGATCTCAGGCCAGGGGACTCCAGCAGGAAACACTGTCTAGTTAGAATATATTAATAATATTTTAAAAGTAATTTTTACAGTTAGCTTTTATTTATGGCAAATAATATTAGCTTTATATGGTTAGAGTTAAAAGTCTCCATTTTAAAGAATTTATTTAAATAAAAATAGCATAAATAGGGGTTGGCCAGGTGGCGCAAGCAGTTAAGTGCGCGCACCCTGCTGCGGCAGCCCCGGGGTTTGCCGGTTCGGATCCCGGGCGCACACTGATGCACCGCTTGTCAGGCCATGCTGTGGCAGCGTCCCATATAAAGTAGAGGAAGATGGGCACAGATGTTAGCGCAGGGCCAGTCTTCCTCAACAAAAAAAGAGGAGGATTGGCAGATGTTAGCTCAGGGCCGGTCTTCCTCACCAAAACAAAACAAAAAAAATAGCATAAATAATATGACAAGGCAGCATGTCTTTGAATTGGCCCAATTTTCAAAGGTGCTGTATGAACGACCAAGTTTGAGAGGTACTCTCTAGACCAGGGGTTGGCAAACTTTTTTTGTGAAGGTCCAGGGAGTAAATATTTTAGGATTTGTGGGCCATGTGGTATTGAAACTGCTCAACTTGTAGGGTGAAAGCAGCCATAGACAACATGTAATGGCAGGCGTGCCTGTGTTCCAATAAAACTTTATTTACCAAAGCAGGTGGGACTAGTTTGCTGACTCCTGCTCTCGACAGATCTTCTGTTATTTTGTCGTTTTTAAAAAGGCAATATTGAACCATATGTTGCTGTGTCGTTTAAGCTTCTCTGGGGTGGTGTCTTTTTTTTTTTTTTTTTTGGTGAGGAAGATCAGCCCTGTGCTAACATCTGCCAATCCTCTTTTTTTTTTTGCTGAGGAAGACTGGCCCTGGGCTAACATCCGTGCCCATCTTCCTCCACTTTATATGGGACACCGCCACAGCATGGCTTGCTAAGCGGTGCGTCGGTGCGCGCCCGGGATCCGGATCGGCGAACCCTGGGCCGCTGAAGCAGAGCGCGTGCACTTAACTGCTGCGCCACCGGACCGGCCCCGGGGAGGTGTCTTCTTAATAGCGACTTGAATCTGTTCCTGCAGTGGAGTTCAATTCCCCTGAGTTCTGAAGTGTGTCTGATGACCCTTTTGCCGTTGCTACAAGATGGCCCAGCTGTCCTTCAGCTGCCCTGTCTTTGTGGCGTCATAATGTCCATCCTTCTGCAATTCTTCTCAAACATCCTGTTTTTCCATTTGTCCAAGTTTTTACCCTGCCCAGATGCCCTGTGCCTCTGACATCATGTTGCTTTGCACGTGGATTTCCCTGCCCTGCCTCAGATGGAAGCAAGTCCATGGGGCTAAAATAGGTCTAAACTTGGCAATTATGAAATGAGCATTCTAGATCGGCAGTAGTTGGCTCTTGCTCATGAGCTTTATTTGTTCCACAACAAATCTGCTTTCGTCTCGAGGATGAATTAATAAACCTTGAATTGGTAACTATTAAAAATCAACATGTTTTCACACGAAGTCTGGAATTCCAGCTTCTGGAAAACTTGGGAGCCGTGGCCTTGGGCCTGCACTCGTGGCCTGGGTGGGGCTGAGGAGCAGCTCCCTCCGTTATAGATGGTGGTTGGGTCAGCGTTGTGCTGAGCCGCTGTCGTGTAGCGCAGAGCGGGGCCCCCTGCAGGCCTGGAAGCCATGGTCCTCGGCTTACACCTGGCCTCTCTCCCCGTTGCCCCCAGCTACCGCCCCTCAGCAGGAAGCAGATGCTGAGGTGAACACAGAAACACTAAACAAGCCGTCCCAGGGAAGCTCCTCCAGCACACAGGCAGCCGCTCCAGAAACGGCCGGTGCCTCGAAAGAGAAGGAGACGCCAGCTGAGAAAAGCAAGGACAGTGGCTCCGTGAGTATCCTCATGCCTTCAGCCAGTGACACCAACCCTTTGGGGGGAGGTGTGTGTTTAGAACAGCCTTGTCCCATAGAAGCTTCTGTGATGATGGAAATGTTCTGTATCTGCTCTGCCCAGTATGGTAGCCACCAGTCACATGTGGCGCTTGAGCACTTGAACTGTGGCTAGTGTGATCAAGGACCAGAATTTTTTTTGTGTGTGTGTGTGTGTGAGGAAGATCAGCCCTGAGCTAACATCCATGCTAATCCTCCTCTTTTTGCTGAGGAAGACTGGCTCTGAGCTAACATCTATTGCCACTCCTCCTCCTTTGTTTCCCCCAAAGCCCCAGTAGATAGTTGTATGTCATAGCTGCACATCCTTCTAGTTGCTGTATGTGGGACGCGGCCTCAGCATGGCCGGAGAAGCGGTGCGTCGGTGCGCGCCTGGGATCCGAACCCCGGGCCGCCAACAGCGGAGCACGCGCACTTAACCGCTAAGCCACGGGGCCGGCCCGAGGACCAGAATTTTAAATTATATTTAATTATAATTCATTTAAATACAAATAGTCACATGTGGCTAGTGGCTGCCATATTGGATGGTGAAGGCTGCCCCTCACAGCTCCCCAGTGTCGTGTGGTATATGTAACATGGATTGTATGCAAATGTTATTTTAGGCAGCACATTGATAATTTTTTACATTTTTAGTCATGTATTTATTTCAATATGTATTAAGTAGAAATAAGTATCCCATCAATCAAAACCCATTGATTTCATTGATATTATTGGCTAGTAGGAGATTAATGTGACATAAAAATGAATTAATTTTGAAGTAATATATTTCCTTTTTGGATATGGCAAAAATCTGGAGGGTGGGTAGGTCAGTGGATGAAGTTGATGAAACAGTGAATGTTCTAGAAGCTGAGGCTATAGGGTTGAGTAAGGGGCCATCCCAGTGCGGTGTTCAGCCTGCTCATTTGGGGAGACGTAGTACAGGCGTAGGGCCACCCCAGCTGAGCTGGCCTCCCCTGCCTGAGCACACCAGAGGGCGCCAAGGTGCCTTGGGGGCAGCGATGAGCACCCCCGTGGATCCCTGGCCTTCCCTGGGGGGCTGCATTGGCCCCAGGGCCTTGAGTCTCTCTCTCTCTCTCTTTGTATTTCTAGACCCTCGACCTTTCTGGCTCCAGGGAGACACCCTCCTCCATTCTCTTAGGCTCCAACCAAGGCTCTGGTATGTTGCCCCCTGGTGGGTGAATGGTGCGCTCACATCCACGCAGGCTGAGGGGAAGCCATTTTCTCAGGGAGAACTTGAATTACAGCAGTGGTTTTCCAACTACTGTGGGTCCTTAGGGATCCTTGGGGGCGTCCTGGGCGGGTCAGTTGGGGCAGGGTGGCTGGGCAAGACAACTTTCAGGCACCTCTCCAAAGTGATCAGTATTGACTTGTATTTGTTTTATTTATTGGGGTTCCACATAAAACTTGGTTTGGACAGAGGGTCCTGTGTTGACCCGGGGTGGGGTCGAACATGTGTGTTTGGGTTGGGCAGGTCTTTTGTCCTCAGGGAAATGACCGCAGTAAATGACACCATGTGACACTTTATTCCTGAGGTCCCGACACCCGCATGTGGTGGATGAGGGCACTTGAGGCTTTGGAGAAAAGAAGAAAATTTTTAGGTAGATGATCTTTCTGTAAAACCTTTCCTCTTGGGGAATAACCTGGAAGGCTGTTATGGGGGATTTGCTCAGACTAACTTCTGGTTTTTCTCTTCTGTGGGGTCTGAGCTGTCCTTTTTTCTAGACCAAAGGGTCTTTTCCCTGCACCCTCCTAAAACAGTTTTGGGTCATTCCAGAAGGGTTCAAAGAAAGTGCCTCCCTCATTGAGGACAATTATGCTTAATTCAAGATCCTTCTGCTCCAGGGTCTTTCTCTCTGCCAGATAATTCTCTTCAGCTGAAAACCAAAAATTCTATTTCACTTCTGCATTTTAAGTGCATACACGAAGAAGTGATGTCCATTGTTAGGGTGGCTGGAGAAGGTTTCCTGGAGGGGCTAGAGAGTGGGATTTGGATGAGTGGGGAATAAGAGGGTCTGGCATGAGCTGACTTGAGGGAGAACATGAACTTGGCATTAAATACGATTAAACCACCCACCCTCTCGCTTCCCCTTCAGTCCTCTGATTAAATCTCTGAGAAAAGTTTAGTTTGGTGCTAACATGTCTTTCTCATCTCTTTGATCTTTTCTAGTTTCTTTTTAACAAAGACAGAGCAGACTTTAGACTTTAGCAGCATGGGGCCCACCTAGAATTTAATACTGCAATTTGGTTTTCATTATGTTTATTTGTAGAGTTGCCTTCTATGTATGGCAATTATTATTATTCTTCTTATTATTTTTTTTTATGAGGAAGATCAGCCCTGAGCTAACATCCACACCAATCCTCCTCTTTTTGCTGAGGAAGACTGGCTCTGAGCTAACATCTATTGCCAATCCTCCTCCTTTTTTCCCCTTTTTCTCCCCAAAGCCCCAGTAGATAGTTGTATATCGTAGTTGCACGTCCTTCTAGTTGCTGTATGTGGGTTGCCGCGTGACAAGTGGTGCCTCGGTGTGTGCCCGGGATCTGAACCCGGGCCGCCAGCGGCGGAGTGCGCGTACTTAACCGCTAAGCCACGGGGTCGGCCCCTGGCAAATATTATTGATTTTATGCTTTTAGGTGGTGATATAAAAGTTTCTGTTTTATTTAAGTTTAAAAATGAGTTTAAAATAAAAACATGAACTAAGTCACATGTAGGAGGATTGCAGATGTGTCAAAACTGCAAAGTTAGAGTGAGAAGGGCCCAAGTTGGGGAGACACTGCTGCTTCAGACAGGGGCGCTCTTGAGGGTTTGGAACAGCAAAGTGTTGGGAACAGCATGGCATTGGGAAGATTAATGATGCCGTGGTGTAGGAAGTCTTGGAATAAACAGGATTGCATACAGGAAGGTGGTTGAGAGATGTATCATATTCCAGTTCCAAGGTAAATGAGTCTTACCTAGGCCAGGGGTCAGAAAACTTTCTGTGAAGAGCCAGATAGTAAATATTTTAAGCTTCGAAGGCCACACGACGTGGGTTCTGTTGCGTCTGCTCAACTCTGCTGTTGTGGCATAAAAGCAGACATAGATGATACATAAGTGAGTGTGGCTGTGCTCCAGTGAAACTGTATTTGAAAAAACAGGGTTGGGGGGAATTTGGCCCATGGGCTTTAGTTGGCTGACCCCTGACCTAGAGCGCACTGGTGTCCGAGGGGGTGGAAAGGAAGGTTCAAATTGGAGAGAGGTGGCAAGAAGCCCCGCTAGATGCTGGTGACTCTGTGCTAGGTGGGTGGGGGAGGAGAAAAGGATCCCAGGAGTCTGGTGACTTGACGGGGCAGGAGGGAGGGGAAGGAGGGGCAGAGAGGAGGGAGGGCAAGATCCCAAATTCTGCTTTAGGTTCTTGGAGGGTGCATGGCACTGGGCTTTTTGCAGATGGTTGGAGGTACACAGTGTTTGTCGAGTGTCTCTGGGGCCAGGCCCTGTGCTAGGGCTGGGGATTTAGAGGTGAACCAGGCAGACAGCTCCTGTCTTCATGAGCCTTCAAGGAAAGTCAGAACAGCGCTTGTTGGTGCTTACTAAAGAGCATGGAGCACTTGCATACCTTATCGTGTTTATTTCCAACATCTGTGAGAGAAGAGTTTCTATTCCCATTATACAGATGAGGAAGTTGAGGCCCAGGGAAGTTAACTCACCTGCCCGACTAACTCAGTGAGCAGTTGTTGGAGCCAGGACTTAGTCCAGATCTCTCTGACTCCAGACCCAGGCTCTCAATGACTATGCTGGGAATTCTGAGGTTGACCTATACGAAACTGCTGTTTTTGTAATTCAGAAATGGTTGAATACTGGTAATTTGTGTGGCTCAACTAAGTAGGCACTGGTCTCCGGGGAAAGGGCTGCAGATGTGGCCTTTTTTCCCCCTTCCAATCTCCTAACTCATTCCTTTCTTCACTTCCCGCCCTCCTTCCTCCTTCCCCAGCTTAGTTTCCATGGCTCATTCCAGCGGTACCCTGCGAGCCTAACCCGATCTCCCCTGCCTTCCTGCTTTCTCAACATGTCCATTTGGCAGAACCCCACCTTGGAGGAACCCCAGCCTTCCATTTTTTACTCACCTGCACCCAACCATCCGAGCTTAGCTGGAAAAAGTTAGACAAGAGGACAGACTCATTCCACCACACCCACAAATCTTGACCACTGACCTCGGAAGCAGAGGTTCTCATCTGCCTGGTCATCTGACCAAATTTCTTTCATCAACCAAAGTTCTCTGCTCTATTTCCAGTCTCCCACCTCTCCACCTCCACTGTGACTGTGAGCGGAGGACACTGCCTCTTCCTGCAGAGGAGCACCGGCCCAGCTCTCCCTCCCCTGCCCTCCGCCTGTCATTCAAACCTTCCCACGGCTGCGCCCACCTTGTCCTCCCTGTCCTCCGTCAGGGCCTGAGTTCTTACTCTTAGCTGCTTCCTTCCCTAGGCATTTGAATATCCTCCTGTATCTCCAGGTTCCTCCCTTGACACCCTGCATCCCCCCCAGAACATTTGGCAGTGATGGCAGTGTATTGGCACTGTCCACTATGGTAGCTACCAGAACCCGTGGCTGTTGGACCCTTGAACTGCGGCCAGTGTGACTAAGGAATGGAATTTAACATTTTATTTTACTTTATTTAACTTTAAGTAGCAACTTTGTAGCTAGTGGTGCCATACTGAACAGCACAACCTAAAACCTGTCCTGTCTCCTTCCCCAGCCCAGTTAGGTGTCTCCTTAAGAGCTGTCATTCCTTCCTCCACTTTCCCTGCTCGCCCACTCCTCAGCTCATGCAATATGGTTTCTGTTTCAATATGCCACCTGAGCGTCTTTCACCACGGTCACTGCTGAGCCCTGAGTCATTAACAAGCGAGGACATTTTAAATTTTAAATATAGTTTTGAGACCTTGTCTCACAAAGAAGCTCAGATTGGTCAGAGTCACAGAAGTTCCACATCAGAAGGGACCCTCTCTAGGGTCTTGGGTAAGGAAAGAGGGGGCTCCAGGACTACACTTACGGAGACGTCCACAGTTAGGACGTGGGGAGAGGCTGGAGGGAAGACCTCAGTGAAGTTGGAGCACCACGGAGCTCGTGGTCAGAAACCAGAGGAGGAGGAGTCCTCCAGGCGGTGCTGCTGCAGTGGCCGAGCAGCAGGGAGACGAGCGGGAGTCCTGGGGCCTGGCCGGGACAGCGCTTCTCAGCAAAGCACTTCGTGCTGATGGTTGTGCCAAAGCAGAAAAACTGACTTGTTTTCAGTCCTCTTCCAATTCCTCGGATGTCTAACTGAACTCCTGCTAGCCGTTGCTGTGTGGTGACAGTGCAGATGGAGTCTCGTGGAGGAAAGTGGGCTTTAGAGAACATGGAGGTTTCTGAGCTTTTCCTGTGCGTCTGGTGCTGGGATGGTGGGATGAGGAGTCTAGCTGGGAGGGACAGAGGTGTAGCAGGGGCTCTGAGCTTCCTCGGGATGTGAGCGCTTGGGCCTCTCCTGTTTCTTGTCTTTTCATTTTAAGACTTGAATCAAAGCAATACATGCATATAGTTAGAGAAAATAAAATCATGCAGGGAACAACAGCTTCTAGTCCCAGTCTCCACTGCTGTCTTTGCACCTGGTACTTATCTCCTTATGCATAAATAATACCGTTCCCTATACTTCTGTTTCTGGACTTTATCTTAGACGTTGCTTGTTGACTGCCACCTTTAAAAGATGAGCGTTGGCGTCATTTATGACTTCTCTTCTCCCCCTCCTTCCAAACTACTTAAGTCACTATTTTATGTGCTCTATGGGTTACCTTGGTCAAATAAAACACTCTTTGGTTCTTGTGCTGCCAGCTGGAGACAGTATGTCTTGGCAGCGTCTCTCCTGCCCCACCTCTCCTACCCCTGTCATACCCAGACCTTCCATCTCTGCTGTGACTTGCCCACCGTCCAGGTTGAGAACACGTCCGTTCTGTTTTGTAACTGCAGTTGAGTCTTCTCGCTTTCGGCTGTTGGCCGAGCGTGCAACATTGAAATGCGATAATCCGTGTTTCCATCATTATGATCATGCCATTTCTTGTAGAGTCAAATAGTGTACCATGATTACATTTCCATTCTTGTACAGCTTTCCTTTTTCCTGGAGTTTCTCTTTTTTTTCCTTTATCATATGTTCAGTTATTTCTCTACCAGCCTCTCACCGTATCAGTTATTTGATTGAGACTCCTTTCCTATCACTGATTTTTGACTCTTCAATTTCAGCTATTGTTTGTGGGTGACCTACCCTCGTAGCTGAGGATGTGGCCCACGTGGTATCTCGTCTGTAGCCCCTTATCAGTCCTCCTCACCACACACACCATCGCCTTCCCCTCCCTGTTCTGTCATCAGCCTTGGCAGTAGCTTAGTTATTTCTTGCCCCACATAATCTGGATTCCTTGGGTGGTGCCTTCCACCTTACTGTAGTTCTAGTGCCTCTGTTTGCCCTGGCTGAATTAGGCTATTGGCAGAGCTAGTGGTTCTGAGGATTTTGCTTTCAACATTCTGAGAATTTGTGGCTTACAAAGTTGCTTTTATGTCATTATATACCTAATTTCCCACCTGTAATGCTGTGCTGTGTCCAGTGATTGTGTTCGTGGTTTAACATGCATTTTTAAAAGCCTTAGCCTCCTGGGAATGCGTTGAGTTGGAGAATGGTGACGTGTGAAGCAGCCACCAGTTCTAAGAACAGTAGGCTATTGATGAACAAACTAGTGAGCAGTGGGGTTGTGTGGATTTGAGCTCTCGGACAGACTCTGAGGCGACCTGTGCTATCTCTTCAGTTAGCAAAAGGTGTGACAAGCAGCCTGCCTATGCCCCAACCACCACAGAGCACCAGCCGCACCCCAACTACCCAGCCCAGAAGTGTAAGTATGACCCTGTCTCATGGAGGCTGCCGGGAGTTTTTCCTGGCATGCAGAAGGCTCGTTGTGTGTGTGTGTGTGTGTGTGTGTGTGTGTGTGTGTATTTGTGGGCGTGTCCTCTCCTGTCCTCTTGAGGGATGGGTCTTCCCTTGCCTTGCCGCATTTTGCCTTAGCTGTGCCTCTGTGGCTGTCGAAAACCGCAGTAGGAAAAGGGAGAGCTGGAGCGGATAGTGTGGCTTCTTGAGGGGGTCATCCTCGCTCTTGCTGTGAAGGGTCCTAGCCCGCAGTGACTGGCCATACCAGCCAGCACCCTGTATCCTATCCAGGTGAGGAGTTAAGCCCTCAGAGACAGCCTGGCTCTGTGATGTGGATTCTGTGCTAATCTCAGCCCTGCTGCCACTTCTCCTGGTGTCCCAGCCTGTCTCAACTTTCACCAGAGCTGGGGGGGGCTTGATGTGGCTTGACTGCATTATTACAGGATTTTCTCACATATGGTGATAACCAGCTACTCCATTCCCCAAAGACCTTCCAGAAGAACTCACAGTGGTCGGCATCACAAATAGGGAAGGACGTGTAGAAGAGGTGGATTCAGGATTGTTAAGAAGACTCGGCCCTTGACGCCAGCTCTGCCCACCAGAATCCTGTCCACGTTTGGTCATTGACACACGTGACTAAAAAGAGCTCTCTCCTGAGTTGAATACATGACTTTGGAGATCCTTATCATTCTCTTCACTCCTTATCTTCCAGAAACAGAACTCATGAGTAAACACACGCGTGCCTTTTTACCAGGCGATAAGGAATGTTGTCCCCCTGGGAGGACATGGTCCCTTCCTCACTCACTCCGATTCTGTCTCTAAGCTTGACACTTGATTTCTTTCGATCAAATATTATCATCCCATCTCAGGAAATTTAAAGAAAAGTTTTGTTCCAATCTGTCTACACTTGGTAAACAATCTAAGATGTGATGGGATCTTAATGCTTTGCTGCCAGGTCTCGTAGTTGACCGTCTAGCTGGGCCTGCAGGCCTGGACTGTTCGACAGGTTTACAGATACCCCATTTCGCTCTTCCTTAAACTTCCTCATTTCTTACTCAGCCACTACTTAGCTCCTCGTGGTACACACGTCCTTGAAGCTATCTTCGGCCTTACTCTGGTTCCACATCCTTCAGTGGTTCTTAAGCTTATGCTTCCTGGGAGCCAATGGGTCTGTGTTCCCAGCGGGACCTGACCATTCTGATCCATGTTCCTTCTCCCTTATGATCCGCTCCCTTGGGTGGTTTGGTTATAAGCCTGTTTTTTGAGTTGCCTGTACATCGATTAAAGAAACTCTGTTAATGTAAGTAAGTAGATCAAATGCCAAATTTTGGTGCCTTTTTCCAGTGGTCAAGGGCAGATACGAGCGCATGGGGTGCTGGGTGTCGTTCAGTCATGTAATAAGAGTACACAGTTTGTGTACCACACAAGAAACGCCTCAGCAATTTAGTACCTTTCTCACTCATCTTTATTCTCTGTGGACATGACCCCTGCTGTTTTTCCAATCAGCTGTTGTTAAATCCTGAAAAATTAAGTTGTTCTGCCTTTGTATTCTATAGACCCACGCATTTAAGGAAGTAAATGGTGGCACTATCGTAACCCTCGTGTTGTGCGGAATGGGGAGGGGAAGGGGGCTTCCCGGACAGGAGATGCAGGTCGAGTGGTTGGGCAGTTCTGCCTCGGCAGAGCTGAGCAGGGATGCTCAACACCCCTCTGTTGGTTTTCCTCCCCAGACCATTCCCGGAGTAGTAAGTCCAGTTGCTGGAGCAGCAGCGACGAGAAGCGAGGGTCGTCACGTTCCGAGCACAATGCCAGTACCAGTTCGAAGAGTCTCATCCCGAAAGAGTCTCGGCTGGACGCCTTCTGGGACTAGGGACAGATTACGACACAAGCCACCCACCCCGTGGAGGAAAACAAAACCAGACACCAGGAAAATGGGAAACAGTAAAGAAACGTGAGACAGGAGAACAGCCACCTTCACACTTGAGAATTCCAAACATGCAGACTTGGCCTTGGCGCCTGGCGCGGAGGGCAGCCTACACTACATAGCATTCAGCATTAGCTTCGACTGAGGACTGTGCCACCCACATGAAACCTATGCTTTAGATGTAAATACTGTACAATTTGTGGATGTCATTGAACCTAGAGTACCTTCCCCTTTTTATATTTGTATTGACTTTAACTTATAAAAAAAAAAGAAAAACAATTAAAAAAAACCCAACAACAAAATGTTTTGATGTTGGAGAAGGGTTGGTCAGTCAGCCCATCTGTCGCCTGGTGGCATGGAGCCTGGGCCCTGGGGTCACTCGTCCCTGGATGCCCAGGGGAAAGAGCCGTTGTCACTCGTATGTCTGTACGCAGCACATTGGGGTCAGGAGATCGGCACAGATCCTGTGCTGTCGTGGGCACGTCACATCAAGCCATTGGCCCCTTTCAAATACTATGTTATGATGTTACAAAGTGCAGGCTCTCTGGACCAGAAGGACACGTGGAGAAGCTAGTTGTCTTTGTGTGATTTCGATGATGACTCTACTCCTAAAAGGGAAAAAATAACGTCCTTGTTTACAGAAGGCAGAAACGAGCCCCGCTCAGCTCAGTGGCAGGAAGAGAAGAACGGAGAGAGTGTTCGAGTCATAAGCTTTGAAACAAAGAGAAACCTTTTCTTTGCTTTCTGGTTCCTTTCAACACACTCATACACACTTGGTAGGAAGAGATGCTCTGCTTCTCAGAAGCAAGAACTCAAAAGCAAGACGCACGCAGAGGACATTAGAGTCTGGGATGAAGCATGTCTGTATTATTTATATGATGGAATTTTACGTTTTTCTGTACGCATGAAACAAAGGCAGTGTGAGAGAAAGCCAGACACCCGCCATGCTGTCTGTTACACTACGTATGCTGTAGTCCCATCTTGTATGTTGTGTAAAACAAAAAGCATTGAACAAAGCAAAAGGTGATGTATGTATATGAGAAAATTAATTGTACGATATCATTCCAGTACCTTTGGTTGTACATTTTAGTCTTGTTTCCTTTCTCTTCATTGTTGATAAGAGGATGCGAACTGTACAGTTTCCAGCTAGTTACCCATATTAGAGAAGAAATAAAAAGAGAATATTAGAAGAAAACAGGAAAGAACATTTGTGAATTGCAGTTGTCAAAAAAAATAGCCTAGCTGGCCCTATTTGTGAAGCATAATTGCTTTTAGCATATGGAAGTATTTTTTCACATTTTCTTTGTATAAAATTTGTATTAAACTTAAATATCTTTTTTGATGACGGTGTTTCTTTGTGACTGAGCCAGTGGACTCACACGGTATGCTCTTTTGGGTTCCCCCCCTCCCCCCGATTTTTTCAGATTCTTCACCTTTTTTTTAATTAAACTGTTTTGGAAAAACGGCTTGGTCGTCCTCAAATGTGCAGTTTTCCATTGGGTCGGGAGGGCCGTGTCAGGTGGGCACGACCCAATGCAGGAGAGGGGGCTGTGAGAGGTCAAGGCCGTCTCCACAAGTGGTGGGCGCTTCCTGGGAAGTCCACTTCCTTGGAATTTATTGACAGAGAAGAGACTTCGTGAAACAGAAGGGACATTCTGGGTCAGCCTTAGGCGAACAGTGGGAGGGGAGTGAATTGTCTTTTCGTGGTCAAGGTGGAGGCCTGAGCTAACAGGTTGAGTGGGCAGTGTGTGGCCTTGGCCCAGGCATACCCTGGGCATTTAGTTTTCATGTGTCACAAAATATTTTGCTTTTTTTCAGTGATTTAAAAGTGAAACACTATTCTCAGCTCACAGTCCATACTAAAGCAGGAAATGGGCTGGTTTTGGCCTACAGGCCATTTGCTGGACAGTGCTGTGAAAGGAACAAAATGGGGATAGTTTAGAGCAGGACCAAAGGGTGAAGGCATCTACTCTAGCTGAGACTATGTAGGGAAGGGACATTGACCTGAAACCTGAATTAAGAGCTGGGTGTGAGAAGACAGATAAAGTAGGTGAGCAATCGAGACAGTGACCAGCAAGTGCAAAGGCCCTGGGGTACTGTGAGCTGGACATGTTGATAAGCAGCAAGGAGGAGTGAGCAAGGTGGAGGGGACAGTGGTCTAAGGTGTTCTCGTGGTGGGCTACGATTTTCCCCTCGATCCTTGGGTCTGAGCCAAATCAGAAAGGGCTGCATGCCAGCCTGCTGTGACCTCCCACTGGCTGCTGTGGAAAAAGGCCCCAAAAGTGACTAGCTCAAGGCCACAGAACTACTGAAAGATTCTAACTGGACTCCTGTGTAAGTGCTCCTTCCAGTAGATGGGGCGTTGTCATTTTTTAAGTTGTGTCTAGCTTCCTTTTCTTGGGCACACATGTGCCCCTTCTCTGTATCACCTCATTTTATCCTGAAGGCCACAGAGTGGAAGGGGGACACAGCCCCATTTTAGGGGAAGAGGCCGAGGCTGCGAGAGGGAAGGCACAGTTGCCTCGCTGTCGTCCTTTAGCTCCAGCAAGCCAGGCCCCTGTGCGTCTCCAGGCCCTTAGAGTTGCTGCTTCCTTGGCCTGGCACCCCCTTCCGCGGCTGGCATCTTATTCTTCAGGTTGTCCTTCAGATGTCGCGTCTGAAGTAGCCACCCTCCCCGTGCTCTGTCTCAGCCTCTTCCTAGTTTTCTTCGTATTCCTGAGCAAAGTTCGTATGTATTTATGACTTGATCTTGTCTGTGTCCCCGTCCCACTCGAATGTGAGCGTGTGAGGGGATGGCTGTCTCTGTTCACTGCCACGTCCTCGGCTTGGGAGAGCCGATGATGAAGGTCCACGCCTCCTAGGTGGTGGGGCAGCCCCTGAGTCTTCCTCACCTTGAGGCGTCCTGGGACTGCCCACCCGACTCCCGCCCCTCCCGGCCTCAGCTGCAGCCTCCCGTAGAAGAAAAGATCGGGGAAGAAGTGGCTGACCCAGTGATAGAGAAATAGTTGCTTTTAAAAAAAGTTTATAAAAATACTATTTATTTGACTAGGTCATACAGTCACGTGCCTCAAACGTGACAAGATGCGAGCTGCCCCCACTGTGAAGTCCTCCCAGCCTCCCTGGTCCTTTCGGGCCCCCTTCCTGCATATCTCTCAGTCTCTGCATTCACAGGCCAATGCAGACAGGGAGTTTTCTCCCCCTTTTTGTACATAAACGGCAGCATTGGACACACACTTCTGGCCCCTTTTTACTTGCCCTGAAGTCCAGGGTGCTGTCCCATGTTGGCACAGGTCCAGCCCGTCTTCGCTCCTCTGAGCGGGTGCCGTGGAAGAGGACGGTGCGTGTCACAGCCCCGTTGTCGGATATTCAGATTGTCTCCAGACACCGGCCAGGGCAGACGGACCTGGCCTGGGGTGCGAGTCGTGAGCTGTGTGAGGGGACCCGTGGGAGTCATCCCGAGTGGCTACACCAGAGGGTCAGTGAGTGGCCAGAAAAGAGGGAAGGACTGGGAGGTTCCAGACAGGGCAGCAGGGCCTTCTCCGTCTGGCTTTAGTCCGGGTCCAGTGTTGTCAGATGCACAGTGACTCTGACTCTGTGAATGAAGAGAAGAAAGAGGACACCTTGGAGTTTGGTGAACCCGGCAGACGCTGTCACGCTCCTTGCTCCTTTCTGTCAGCAGTGGCTGGGCGTCGCGCAGGGCTGGCGACCTTTCATGCAATCAGGCACTCTCGCCACCTGGTGGCCCCGGGCAGAACTGCAGCCCACACAGCCGGAGCTGGACCACGGGCCACAGGGAGAAGATGGGCCAAACGTTGTTCGGGCGACTTACTGAGCACTCTGTGTGAGCCAAGCCGGGGGCCACAGCACCGAACAGAACAATCGTGGCCTCTGTCCTCGTCGATCTGACATTCTCACTGGGAAGGAGTCCAATACGCGTATAATAGAATCCCGGCGGGACAGACACATTGAAGGTGGACCAGCAGGGTCCGGAGGGAGTGGATGGTGGGGTTGGGGACGGCCTCTCCGAGGAGCTAGTGTCAAAGAAGCAGAAACCCGAAGGAGGTGGGGACTGAGCCGTGATGTCTAGGGCAGCGATTCTTAACTCTGGCTGAACATGAGAAGCACCTGGGAAGATTTAAAACAACAAGCCAATGATGCCCAGATGCCACCCCCTCCCTGAATAATGACGTCCTACTGTCTGAGGCGGGGCTGCAGCGTCTGGGCTTTTGCAAGCTCCTCCCGTGATCCTAATGGGCAGCAGAGCTCAGAGCCACTCACCTGGTTGGAAGAACATCCTAGGTAGGAGAGCAGAGGCGGGGACCTGCATCTTCCAGGAGGAGGAGGCAGGCTAGTGAGGCGGGATGGAGGGATTGGGGGTGGGGGAGGCTGATGAGAACAGAGAGGGAGGGGGGTCAGGGATTGCATTGTGCTTCGAAGGAGATGGGAGGCCATGGTGGGTGGTTTTGTTAACAGCTGTATTGAGATATAATTCACATCCCATGCAATCCACCCATTTAAAGTGTATAATTCAATGATGTTTGATATAATACATATTAATTTTAAAAATTGTGGTAAAATATATATAACATAAAATTTTCCCTTTTGACTGTTTTTAAGTGTGCAGTTAGTTCAGTGGCATTAATCAGAGTTGTGTTTTGAACATATAAATGTTTCCCAAACTTCAGCATTCATGGACCACCCTCCTATCAGGATACATCAGGACACCACCTATATTACTGCTTATTTTCTTTAATCCATCAAAACAAAGGTGCCCCCGATTCCTCCCAGTGTCACTGGTGTGGGCACTTTGCCTATGCCGAGCTCTGTGCTGAGGGATTTCCATGCCGTAATCTTTTGGTCTTCATGACAACTCCACGAGGCGGGCACTGACCACAGTCCCATTCTCCAGATGAGGAAAGTGACTTGCCCCAGGTCACACATCAGGTCTGTGCCAGGGCCAGGATTCAAACCAGACCACCTGATTCCCCAGCCAGTGCGGTGACCCATCAGATGACACTGCCTCTGGGTCTGCTGCACCAGGTAAGTTTCTAAAATGCCTCCTGGGTACCCTTTCCCTGATTCCTCTCAACTGCCCATGGGGGTGGGTATTGTTCTGCTCTTTGTACAGCGTAGGAGACCCAGACTCGAGGGTGAAATGAATTTCGAGGAGGTCAGGTTTTCAGTTGCAAACAACTGAGTCCAGTCTAGGTAATTTGAGCAGGAAAGGAATTTATTAAAGATTATATTAAGTGACTCACAGACCTCTGGGGTGGGGGGAGGGCCAGAGACTGCACAGCCACCAACAATGTCCAAATTACATCGCAGGACCTTCCTGTCACCACCACTGGGCCCAGACACTGCAACTCTCACTAACGACATTGGGCATGTCCTTTCTGCCTCCCTGCTAAATTGGATTCCCTCAGAATCCACTTCCGTTGCTTTCACATGTGGGTATATCTGGATTGGCTAAGCCTAGGTTCCACATAGGTGTATCTGATTGACTGAGTCTAAGTACCAACTGGATGTATTTGATTGGCTGAGCATGGGTACCACCTGCGTCTATCTGATTGGCTGATCCTGGGTACCATCTGGGTCTATCTGATTGGCTGAGCCTGGGTACCACCTGCATCTATCTGATTGGTTGAGCCTGGGTACCATCTGGGTCTATCTGATTGGCTGAGCCTGGGTACCATCTGGGTCTATCTGCTTGGCTGAGCCTGGGTACCATCTGGGTCTATCTGCTTGGCTGAGCCTGGGTACCATCTGGGTCTATCTGATTGGTTGAGCTAGGTCACATGTTTACAGTCTAACTGCAAGGGAGGCTGGGATAGTGAGATTCAGGCTGCTTCTGGTGCAGACTCCTAAGGTGGGAAATTGTCCAAACAAAAGGTCTTGCGTTGACAAAAATGGTGATAGTACCACTGCAGAACTGTCCAAAGTCTCTGTCAGTCAGGTCAGTCGTAGAGAGCAGAATCCACTCAGCCAGTTAAAGCAGAATGTTTAGTAAGAGAACTGGTCTCTAATCTGTACTGTCAACAGGCTAGGCTGGAACTACATTTCCCAGAATCCCTTTCCACAAATGGCTCCCACTTAGAACTGACCAAAAGAGAAACTTGCGGGAGATTTTGAAGGTGGCAGGGAAGCAGCAGCGTCTTCTCTTGCAAGGTCGCTGTGGTTGGACGTGGCGACAGACAGTGCGGAGAGGCCAGCAGGCTCCGTCTTGTCCTTGCTGGCCTCCACACTGAGTTCAGGTCTTCTTCCTGACCCCTGGACATCGGCACCTGGCCCAGCCCTGGACACTTGGCTGCAGGGGCAATGGTTCCCCATCGA